AAACCTCTCATACAAATCAGCAATTGATTCTCTAGGCTTCATTTTGAAGGATTCATATTGACCAAGCAAAAGATTGATTTGAGTTTCCTTGGCACGATCTGTTCCTTCATAAGTGACAAGGAGAGTATCCCAGATTTCCTTAGCTGATTCACAAGCAGCAATTTTTTTATATTCAATAGGAGATAAAGCACAATAGAGAGAATAAATTGCTTTGGAATCTAAGATTTCTCTTTTGGATATCTCAGTTTGAGATAATGGAAGATCTGTTGCTATGCTTGCATCTGCCTTTTCTTTTGAATCAGAAGATCTTGGATTGACTCCTCTGATGATAACATCCCATTGCATGTGATCAATTGACTTTATGAATGCCTTCATCTTATTCTTCCGACACTATATTCCTTGCCATCGAAATATGGTGGTCTGTTGTTGCTCTTCGTCCTTCAATGAGCCCTGGAGCACCATAGCTAGCCATATAGATCGTTAGCTCAGAAGTAAGACACTTCAATAAATGAGCAACCTGCTCTGATACCAATTGATGTAGCTAGCAAGGATCACCTAGAGGGGGGTGAATAGGTGATCTTAAACAATTTTTGATAATTTATGCGGAAACAAAATAAATCACAGAAGAGTTTGAATAAAATTCAGATTCAAGACAGATTATAAAGACGGTGCTCTTGATGTGCAGAATGTAAAGTAAGAGATAATGGATAGAGAATCTGTACACAAGTTTATAGTGGTTCGGCTTATAGCAATCCTACGTCCACTCTCCCACGCTTACAGCCTACCGGCTGGATTTCACTATGTAATCAAGAGGAATTACAACTTCTGAGTGTTAACACTCTTGTGTATGATAGGACTCTCTATCTCACACAATCACTCTTACAAAGTGTCCCTCAAGATCTTAATGTTTGGCTCAGAATGACAAGAGAAATGATTGGAGTATGCTCAGACTTTGGACTTGTTGATTCTTGATTCCATACTTCCTTCTGCTGCTCGTTGATCCTTTTAAATACTCCTCTACTAGCCCTTGGACAGCTTTCAGAGGATCATCTTCTAATCTTCACCTTGGACAGATTTGTATAATAAGGATTGAGTAGCCGTTGGATGACAGATTCTGAATCCCGCTGATTCTGGTCGCCCATACAATTAGAATCTTGGTTTCCATAAGTAGAGCTTTGTCCGTTGTAATGCATTCTTGTCGTGATGTTTGATTGTCAATCAATTTGATTGAGATTGAGACAATCAGAACATTCCTTCTGTGAAATCCATGCCAGATCACTAGCTGTTGTGTTACACGTTCCGAATTCGCGTCGAAGAAATTCACGTCGCGTCTCGCATCTAAAGAACTTCTGCGTCTCGCGTCTCAAGAATTTCTGCGTCCGAATAATTTCTTCGTCTCGCATCTCGCATCTCGAATAACTTTTGCTTCTGCATCTGCATCTGCATCTGAATAACTTCTGCGTCTGAATCTCAGAACCTAGATTATATGGGTCTTCAAAAACATACTTGACAGTTTGTAAAGTCTGAATAACTTTCTTCTGAGCTTCCAGAATATACAGACCCGGAATAAATTTGTTCAGAATAAGTATCAGATTTACAATAACATAGAAAGTTTTGTCAACTTCAAAATCAATAGGAGTTTTCCTCAACAGAGTCAAAAACTTAGTGTTAGCGGAGTCTTCTTTAATTTATCGTGTTGATGAAGGCTCTAACTCTTCTGTGTAATATTGTACTTTTCTGATGCAATGGAAGGTTCGATTTAGCAACAAAAAAAAAAAGATGAACTAACTTTCCAATTTAGCTTCCGCCATTTAGAGGGCAGTTGCGTTGTTCTCAATGTAAAAAAGTAGAGGGAAAATTGACATTAATAATATGAAATTTTGATGCATCCGTAAATATTTTCCTAACAAATTTCTTGCTTACATATAGCACTTACCTTACTGTCAAGATCTGTCACTAATCTATAGGGGTGATTGGTTCTCCAGACCGGGAACCAATTAGTGACTTCCGTTCCAAAGTTCTAAAATTTTGGAATCGGGAATCGGACCGAATGATTCTGGAACTAGATCGGACTGGTCGGTTCCAGTCTGGTTCCCAGTTCTACCCAGACTCGGGCCATACACAGTTGGCTTGAGAAGGGAGATGGGTGGGAGTCAATGAAGAAGACCATAGCAGACGCTTGAAGCGCTCGTCTCAGCAAGTAGACGAAGCCGCCGCCATCGACGATGCCGCAGCCTTTCCTACTCTCTTGGATGCAGTGGCCGCCTTATTTTGAGCAGGCTTCTTCTCGCTCGCATTGGACACCATCTTCAATAGCCCCCCAAAAAGATGAAGAAAACCCTAGACAAGAATGAACAAAAGAATAAATCACCTGCCAAATCCAAAAGCACGTAGGTCGACACAAAAGCATTCACGAGCCAGAGAAATCGAGAGTACTTGGGAGGAAACAGGAGCCAATCTAAGCTTTGAGTTAAGTGGTGCTTTATCGATGTCCAAAGTTCACAAATCGGGGTTTGACCGAGCACCATCGTTGATGAGGTTTCGGGAATACGGAGATTGCAAGATATTTATAGGCACGATGATGGCATGTGAAATCGTCCCTTTCTGGGCCTGCCTCGAGCTCTTCCAAGAGGAGCTCCTCAGGACCAAAAAAAAATTATAAAAGAAAAATCATCGGTCCGGTTCAAGTGGAATCGGATTGAAAATCACCGGTTCCACTTTTTTGGAACCAATCGGATCAATGCCCCTGGAAATTACCCAGAACTGGCCAAATCGGTTCGATCCGGCTGATTTCTTTTGCTCACCCCACTATTCTATTCCTAAAAGACCATTGACATCCACTTCCAACCAAGAACAAACGTGTGAAGAGAACTAGTTCTCATCATAAATCAAATTTTCCCAAAAACATAATAAAGCTATCGTTGAAAATTGGGAAAATTGTCAAAAAAGTCCTAAACCTATTGCACTTTTGCCAAATCAGTCCTAAACTTTTTAAGTTTGCCAATTTAGTCCTAAATTTTTTCACTTCTTGTCAATTGAGTCCATCCAGCAAATTTTGGCTTGCCAGTGTTGACATGGCCACCGGCCGTCCGGTTAATGCTGACGTGGCAATTTTAAAATATTTTTTTCAAATTTTTTAATCTTTTTTTTTCTAACTTCTTCCCTTTGGCCGGCGAGGTCGACCTCATCGGCCTCTGACAAAGCTTGCCCCCACCGGCCACCGACGAGGGTGAGCCTCGCCAGCTCCTGGCTGGGCAAGGTTGACCTCGCCAGATCTGGGCGAGGTCGGCCTCGCCTAGCCAAGGCGAGGCTAACCTCGCCGTCGCGACCCATCTCCCTCGCATGGGTCGCGATGGTGAGGTCGGCCTCACCTTTTCTGAGCAAGGCTCGACCTCGTCCAGATTTGGTGAGGCCGACCTCGTCATTGCGACCCATCTCCCTTGCTTGGGTCGCTACGGCGTGGTCGGCCTCGCCAAATCTGGGCGAGCCTCGCCCTCGTCGGTGACCGGCATGGGCGAGCTTCGCCAAAGGCCGACGAGGTCGACCTCGCCGGCCCTCGCCTTTGGCCGGTTGCCGGTCGCTGGACTAGCTAAAGGGAAGAAGTAAAAAAAAAAAGATTAAAATTTTCGAAATTTTTTTTTAAAAATTGCCACGTCAACGTTGGCAGAATGGCCGGCGGCCACGTCAGCGCCGGCCGGTTAAAATTGGCCGAATAGACTCAATTGGCAAGAAGTGAAAAGGTTCATGATTGAATTGACAAACTTAAAAGGTTTAAGACTGAATTGGCAAAAGTGCAATAGGTTTAGGACTTTTTTGACAATTTTCCCGTTGAAAATCATGAAAAGTCCAATTTTGTGAGAGAAACTTGCAATTTTGTAGGAAAAATTGTTCAAAAAGTCCTAAAACTATTGCATGGCCACTAATTCAGTTCTAAACTTTTTAGTTGTATTAATTTAGTCCTAAATCTTTCGAGGATTTGTCAATTTAGTCATAAACCTTTTAACAAATTACCAATGTAGTTATTTTGGCTAATTTTTGCTTGAAATTACTGACGTGGCTATCCAATCAGCAGTCTAGTTAGTTAACCGTCTAACGTGACACAGTGGCGTGCCTAATGCCGTCGTGGGCAATTTTTTTAAAATTTTCCAAGATTTTAATTTTTCTTTAATTTACTTTCTTTTCTTTTGTCTTCATAAGGGTGGGGCCATCGGCCACTGGCTGAGAGCTGGCAGCCTCCGCTGGCCCCTAGGCAAGGGTCGCTATGGCTCGGGAGGGCCTAGGTGAGGGCTTCGCAACTCTCGCCTAGGGGCCGGCGAGAGTCACCAGCTCTTGGCCAATGGCCCCTGGGCTCCCAACCGGATCTCCTACTGTATTAAGATTAGGACGATTTGACATTCTTATTATTTCGACAGAAATCATATCCTTTTTCATCTAATTCATTCCAAAACTAAACAAAAAATGACAGTCTCTTCTGGAAAAGATAACAGGAAAAGAAAAATTATAATTTGACAAAGTGCCCATTGCCGTAAGGAAAGCCAGTAAAGCCAACGCGCCGGCGCGGCGCCGGGGCGTTGCTGGCAACAGATTAAAAATTTCTTGCGGTTATTCGTTATTTAAGGAAAAAACCTTGTGGAGCAAATTGCAAAAAGCCATCCAGTTCGTCAGAACAAGTTACCCTTTTGTCCGAAATGATTATGTCTGTTCAACCTGAAGGAGAAAGCTGAATGATTATGAATTTAAGTGCAGAATTAGCTCTCTCTCTGTAGTGTGTGTGGGTCTCTGTCTCTCTCTCTTTCGCCTAACCATATTTATGGCCCTATTAAGAAGATGAGCCGATGTCCCTCCATTTCTCCCGCACTAAACCGTCGTACCCCCCTGACCTTTCCACCTTACTTTGTTTGGAAGAAGCAAAAGTGGAAAAAAGTTGGAAACATTTCACCTTCCTGCTCTCTGCTTCGCCGCCATCAGGAAGTTCTGTTCTGTTCTGTTCTCTCTCCTCTCTCTCTCTCTCTCTCTCTCTCTCTCTCTCTCTCTCTCTCTCTGCCATAACCGTCCTCTCGCTGATGTATCAGCAACTAGGCTGACCCTGTGAAAACAGAGCCTGATCAAAATGAACTCTTTATCCTCCGGTTTCTTCCTTTGCTAAGCACCTTGTTTGCTTTCCGTTTGTTTCATGCCTCCTCTCGGTCTCCATCTCTGTATGCGCAAGCTATTTCCCTCTTCCATAGAATAGTCAAAACTAGAACTTGGGTGGGTCTTTTCTCTTCTTCTGCAGTCTCTCTGTATTGCCTGGTTTCCAGTTTCTTGGTTGTTGGTCCATAGTTTTGTTGATTCTTTACGTTGCCATTACAAAGGACCTGCCTTTTCGAATCCACTTTCTCTGATTTTGTTCTTCTTTGCACTGTTGGATTGATTCAGCTTCCTTTGTGTTTTTTTTCTCCTCTTGCGCAGATTGCATTTGGCTTTACTCCGAATCGATGGCAGCAAAAGACGCAGATTTCTCTCCTCACAAACTCCCCTCTCCTTCTCAGGTAAAAGACCTCACTAGAAGCACCGACATTTCACGCTAACAAAGTTGAGTCCTTTCATTTCCTTTCCAATTTCTTTTTCATAACAATGAACATGGAGAAGTTGCTTCCTTTTATCAGGTCGTTGAAGAGCTAAAAGAACTATTAGCCATGGTGTTCCCCATCACGGCCATGAACTTACTGGCCTTCGTCAGACAAGTTGTGTCGGTCCTGTTCTTGGGTCGTCTCGGAAGCCTAGAGCTCGCAGGTAGCCTTCCTCGGTTTGTGCTCTGCCTCCAATTAATCCCATTGTGAAATACTATAATCTTTATTAACGTGCTAAACTCGTGTGAATCTCGAGTTGATCAATATCTGTTTTCCATAAACGCTTCGATTCGTGCGAAAAAGAAATGGACTTTCTTGCTTACTGTGCTTAGGAGGAGCACTGTCCATCGGCTTCACCAACATCACGGGCTACTCTGTTCTGGTCGGCCTCGCTTCAGGGCTCGAGCCGGTCTGCGCTCAGGCCTACGGGAGCAAGAACTGGGACCTCCTGGCCCTCTCCCTCCAACGGATGGTCCTGATCCTCCTGATCGCGATCGTTCCCATCGGCCTCCTCTGGGTCAACCTCGAGCCCATCATGATCTTCATGGGCCAGGACAGGGACATCACGGCCATGGCCGCCGCGTACTGCATGTACTCCCTCCCCGACCTTCTCACCAACACCCTCTTGCAGCCCCTGAGGGTGTTCCTCCGGTCCCAGTGCGTCGCCAAGCCCATGATGTACTGCTCCCTCGCCGCCGTTGCCTTCCACGTCCCGCTCAACTATGCGCTTGTGGTCGGTGCGGGGATGGGCGTGCCAGGGGTGGCGGTGGCCTCGGTGCTGACGAATGTGAACATGGTGGGGCTGATGGCTGCGTACGTGTACGTGTCGGGGCGATGTGAGATGCAGTGGACGGCCGGGATGAGGCGGGTCTGTGATGGTCTGGTACCGCTGATGAGGCTCGCGGTGCCAAGCTGCCTCGGGATTTGCCTGGAGTGGTGGTGGTATGAGATTGTGACAGTCCTGGCGGGATACTTGCCGAACCCCATGGCCGCGGTGGCTGCCACCGGGGTTCTGATCCAAACTACCAGCATGATGTACACTGTGCCCATGGCCCTAGCTGGTTGTGTTTCTGCCAGGGTAAGATCCGTTGTTTCTGTCTCAAGGGTATATTACCATTTCAGAGTGGCTAAAGTTGGCGCAATGCTTCTTTAGTCCACATTTTACTATTCCCTCTCATGCTCTTGAAACTCCTATAATGGTTCATCTTGTTTTCGCATTTGATGCGTTATGACACTGCATCACTCAAATTCAGCTGTGTCATCCTCTACGTGTGATGAGGCTTCACCACCATTCGAGCATTTGCTTCCTTTTCATTAGAACTTTTCCAAATGTCGGTGATTAAACCAGTTCAAATGACATTGTGTCTGTGCTTTGTCTCCCTGTTAATTAGACGGGAGAAATGAAAACTGCACTTTCTCAAGTCAAGTCTATTATGGAAACAGTGTTGTATAGAGTATAGACTTGTTGGAGTCGAGCACGATATTGAAAACATATGTTGAGTCTGTGTCCTTGCTATGTTTCATTTATATTTCATCTGTCTCCATTCGAGAATACATTTTTTCTCAGGCACTCCTGTACTAATCATGACTATCAATCTCTTTATCATTGCTGGATGATAAAGATTAGTCCTAGAGCCCCTAAATTACTTAGGACGATCGGCTGTCCTATTCTTAATTGCAAACAGCAAGTGGGACAGAAGTAGATAGATGCATCAAATATCTCAGATTAATGTTTATCAAAATGTTGCCAAATCCTGCAGGTAGGAAACGAACTCGGAGCTGGCAAGCCATACAAGGCCAAATTGGCAGCCCTGGTCGCATTGGGATGTGCATTCATTATGGCCATCATCAACATCACATGGACGATCCTCCTCAGAGAGAAATGGGCAAGCTTCTTCACGAAAGACAAGCTGGTCACCACGCTGGTTGCTTCCGTCATGCCCATCATGGGCCTCTGCGAGCTCGGCAACTGCCCCCAGACGACCGGGTGCGGCATCCTGCGGGGCACAGCGAGGCCCGCTGTGGGTGCCCGCATCAACCTGGGGTCGTTCTACTTCGTGGGCACCCCCGTGGCCGTGGGGCTGGCCTTCTGGCTCAAGGTGGGGTTCAGTGGGCTGTGGTTCGGGCTGCTCTCGGCACAGGCGGCATGCTCTGTGTCCATACTTTACGTGGTGCTGGGTCGCACCGACTGGGAAGGCGAGGCCTTGAAGGCGAAGAAGCTAACCGCCGTCGAGATGGGATCCTCCAATGGAGCGGGAGTGGAGGGTGGTGGGTGTGAAGAGGCTAGAGGGTTGTTGGTGAAGGGAGATGAAGTGTAAAGACACACGAGCTCTTTTGGAGGAGTGCGGTTGGAAATAGGAATAAAAAAAAACAACGTTTTTGTGGGGATGGTAGATGTCTCCCAGGTTGTTTCTTTCCCTTTCGTAAGTAACTTTTTGCCTGGGCTAAGACTTGATCTGTAATTGCACTGGATATATTTGATCACCCCTGAACTTAGCGACTCCTTAGATGTGGAAGCACACAAGCCTGCAGACTTGATGTGAGATATTTGGATGAACCTTGGCATCATTGCATGGATTGAAGGCAATTTCGTGTCTAGACCTTGTCAATAATGGATTGAATGAACCATGGTTTGCAGTGGATATCCCGTCATCTAAAGACAATGATTGAGTGATCTATGAACTTCAGGCTCGGTAAAGAGTTCTCTAAATCGAGATCAAGTATTGTCGTAGTCGCCGATTTCTTATAATTAACTCGGGTCCCGTCATCGATAATCATGATTGTGATTTGACTTTGGAACGTCAATTGAGTTTTCTTTGGAGCTCTCTTCAACTCTCTCTCTCTCTCTCTTCCTTACTAAGCTACAAATGATTGTGCTTCGTAATTGAAAAAGATACACATTTGAATTTCTCAACCTCCTAATTTAACATTCTTAGCGTTCTTTTTACATAAAGAACATACTTATTATGTGTTATATTAACATTCTTTTTAAGGACACATTAACTTAATCCCGTTAAAAGAACGGAGAGGTAAAACCATTTCGAGCAGAGACTACTAAATGCATGTTGCTAGTTAGAAGTAAAAGGGGAGAATTGATGTACTTGCAAATGTGATGATCTATCCCTTTCTTTTGCCAATCATTGCACCTTGGTTATTCCCTTCCTTTTGCGAGGAACATATTCATGTTGGCCAAATTCGTTTTGTCTTTATAGTGAGGTGGGCGTGGTGCTCCTGCAGAAAGAGACTTTTTAGATTTGAGTGGATGGGGAAGATCACTAGTGGCTTTTGGGACTGCGATACTTCCATTTTGGGGCCTACTTCCATTGGGTTGGCCGGATCTGGCCACAAACAAGTGCCTTCAGCACCCACTTTGCCATCGGCCAACGACGCATGGCTTCAAATCCTAAGTACCCTTCTCTCTTTCACTTATCAATTCCTAAAACTTGTCATCCGAGTGATCGCGATTGACTCGGTGATCGAGCGCTCGGTCTTTCTTTAACGAGCTCATTAGTCGGGGTCGTTTTATGAGCAAGCCAGACTTGTGTAATTGAGCGCCACAATCTCGAGGAGAGTTGCGGGTTGCGAACATGCAAGGGGAAGTGCGGTCGATGGGCTCGGCAACCTCGAATCTTAAGATATGAGTAGTGTTGAGTAGTTATAACTCTCGAGAGATGTGTGCAAGTGTATGATAAGTTGAGATAAATTGAACTCTCACATCAGATATGCATGGATGAATTGAGTGGCTTATATTATGATTCCGCGACTTCTTAAATTTAACACTTATAGCAAAAACTCTCGGGCCATACCGTGTTTTCGCGCGAGTTTTCGTTAATAAACTTACTTACACTTGTACCCTCTCTCATTAAAGAAAATATAGTTATCCAATCAAACAGAAGAAGATGGTGTAGGAGCTTGGTTGCAAGAGGACAAAAAGAAGAGTCAATTCTTATTCTTGGAACCTCCACTTTGTTCTTTTGTCTTGGTGGCCGAGTCCCATGCGTTCCACTGTTGGCATCTAATAATGAAAATCAAGATCCAAAGAGGTTATTGGGTACCGACAGCCATCGCAGACAGTCACTCTTTCTCTAATGGCCAGAGCAATTACTCCCTAAGCTTTGCAAAAGCTGAGGACTGGGAAAGCGAAAGAGAATGGAAGCAAAAAGGACCGCCAATCAAACAACCCGAATACCCTACTTGGATTAGCGACAGAGCAATATGGCGACGCATGATTCCGCCTTTTTCAGTGGAACGATCGAACAACGGTGCGCATAGAGGTATCGACGAGGGTGGGTTGGGAGTAGGGGGTGGCGGGGGGTGAACCGAGCTCTGTACAATCGTCTGAGAAGAGAGTTCTTTCTTGCATGCGGGTACTAGCACTAAAATAGAGTCCGGGTTTCAATCAATCGGTCGGGCTACTTTCAGCACGATCGCTCCGGATCCAACCGTAAGATCACGAGAAACTTCACGTCACGTTTTCCACGGCTAGCTATACTAGGATATGATGTGAACTGTTGGATTCCGAGTTCATACAGTGACTTTCGTGAACTTTTTGTACCATGTTGTGCCGCTAGAGCTTGCGACCCAAAAAGCAAGAAATTTGGTACGAGGCACGAGCGCACTACTTTAGGACCAGGACAGTCCATTGACATTTTGCTCACCGTGTTATGATGATGTGGTTCTGGAATCTAGCGACTTGGGCCTGGGCCTGGGCTCGCATCGGCCCACGCAGGGCCCGAAACGGCGTCGTCCTTCTGGTCGGGGTTGGGCCCGAGCGGCGAGGTTGGGCCCGGCCCAGCCCGACCGAAGCAGTCGTCTGAACGGTGAGATTTGCTCGCCGTGGACACTGGACCGTGGACTGAAAGCTGAGTACGACTTTGACCCCGAGAGAGAGAGAAAGAGAAAGAGAGAAAAGAGAGTCCGAGGGTGTGGCAGCTTGCAGTGCTGGTCTTCCTCCTCCTTCGTCGTCGGTCTGTCGCCATCCTCGTCAGTCGTCTCGCCGACCAGCGACCTTGCCCCCCCCCCCCCCCCATAACTTCTGCAATTCGCCGAAGAGACCCTTCTCGACGCTGCTCTGCTCTCTCTGTTCCGTTGCGAAGGTAAAAAAGCCTTTTTCTTTCCTCTGGTTCCGCTCTCGTCCTTTCGTCTCGATTGAATCGTTCGTCCGCCCGTTTGTCTGCGCCCATTTGGGTCTCCAATGGCGCTCGCTGTCGCGAGCTCTCCCCGTGTTTGTTGCTCTCGGCGCTTTTTGCTGCCCGGGAGCGTTTCTTGCTCGATTTTGTCCGGATTCTTGCTAGCTGGACTCTTATTCCGCTTTCTCTGCTTGTTTCTGCACATGGGTTCGCGGCGTGGCGATTGGTTTGTCGACAGCTTGGCGATTCGGCTCCATTGGGCTGAGGCTGAGGCTGAGGCTGAGGTGGCGATCCGCAACCGGTACTGCCCCCGAAAAGATCATCTGGGTATAAATGCGGAAGCGCATTGAACTGGATTCCTGTTTCCTTGATGGGTCGGGATAGGTCTTGACCGTGGCCTCTTTGATCTTGTGAATACGTCGGTAATCCAAGTCGATAGTTGGAATTGGTGCTTGCTTTCTCCAAATGGGTGGCATTTGCTCGCGGGGATCCAGTGTGGATAATGCTCCCAGTGGGAGCCTTGCGAATGTGGACGGTAGTTCTAGTACCGACTCCAATGTCCATCGGTCTGGTGGAATGCCCAAGAAAGGAAACGACATTTCGACTCCGGCCTCAGGTGGAGAGGTTGGGGATGAGGAATTGCGGGAGCCCTTCTCGGCTTCTGCGGAGAATGCTCGTTCATGTAGTTTGAGTTCGGAAGATCTTTCCGATGGCATTCCGCGCTTGTCGAGAGCATTGTCACAGAAATCTAGATCGAACAGGTCTAAGCAAGTGACGGTCGCTAAGGTGAGTCAATTTTGTGTTTTCTGATTGCTGTTATTCTTTCTCTCTCCCCTTTTGTATGGCATACTAAGAAATCATGGGTTAGCATTTACAGGTTACAGCTTTCCCCTTTTTCACTAGGCCGGTTATTGCTTTATTTCCTGCTTGTGTGTGTGTGTGTGTGTGTGTGTGTGTGTGTGTGTGTGTGTGTGTGTGTGTGTGTGTGTGTACTGGATTGTGGGCATTCAATGTTATAGCATGTCCTTTAGTGAATTGTATTCTTTGGACGGTAGGTATCGGAAGTTGGTACACTTTTAGGAAAAGCTGGAGGGAAGGCGGTAGAAGTTTTAGACACGCTTGGAAGTAGCATGACGAACCTGAATCTTAGCAGCGGTTTTACCTCGGGAGTGACTACAAAAGGAAACAAAATAGCGATTTTGGCTTTTGAGGTTGCGAATACAGTTGTAAAGGGTGCTAATCTTATGCAATCCCTCTCGAAGGATAACATCAAGCATTTGAAAGAAGTGGTGCTTCCCTCAGAAGGTGTGCAAAATCTAATAGCAAAAGATATGGATAAACTTCTAAGGATTGCTGCAGCTGACAAAAGGTAGGAACTGCATCGACAGAGCTTGCTTTTGCAACATATCATATTTAAGTCGTTTATATGCCAACGGATGTCAAACTTGTGATTCTTTTTGGTATTGTCGACAGAGAGGAGCTGAAAGTTTTCTCCGGAGAGGTGGTTCGATTTGGAAATCGTTGTAAAGATCCTCAGTGGCACAATTTAGAACGATATTTCGAGAAGTAATCCCCATGCATCAAGCTGTTTTAGCTTGTATAGTATCTTTGCAAATGTGGGACAATGCCTCTTTCTTTGTTGTACTTAGGTTGGATTCAGAGTTTACATCCGAAAAGTTAATGACGGACGAGGCGGAAAGGACGATGCAGCATTTGATGGATCTAGTTCAGTACACAGCTGTGAGTATTCCAATATTGAATATACCTGTCAATGTGCTATTTCGATGGTGAAAAGAAATTTGAACAATGCATATTTAGCCATAAGAATTTTCTCTCTCGTCATGATTTTTATGTCACAAACGACTTACTGGGATCAAGGAGTGCAGCTGGTAGAATGTTTCTTAAAGCCAACTGATTATATGTGAGGAAATTTTAATAGTTCTGGCCTAATAGGCTTAGAATAAGTGATGTATTCTCTTTTTAATCATGGAACTGACCTGCAACTCCTCTGAACTAAAACATTTGGCTATGCATGATGTCCCTGGCCATTGTTGTTTAGTTTTTTCCACAAATCCTGATGCAACTTTGTAAATGGTGAACTCTTAGATTTCTGTATAATTCAGCTTCTGGTCTTTTTTATTCATCTTTTAGAATAAAATTTGAGAGGGAAGCAATGACAATGACTGGTCCTTCACATTTGGTGGCAGGAGTTGTATCATGACTTGCACGCCTTAGACAGGTTTGAGCAAGATTATCAGCGCAAGCTCCAGGAAGAGGATAACCCGAATGCTACTCAAAAAGGTAAGTCATACTTCAAAATATCGTTACCATAAAACTGCCTGACTGATGATCAGAAAAACAGAAATTCGCCTTACTGGAATCACATGATTGTTGGTTTTCACTTATCTGAGAATTTGTAGGCATTACTTTAATCTATCTAAGTTTTACACATCATAGATGACTTTTGATGTTGGCAATTTGTAACATGTTGCTTTGGAATCAAATTTGTCGTTTTGTCTAAATTGGCTGTTTGTTCTTTCCGAGGTTGCATCTATAATCACTGTGATGTCATTTTGAGTCTAACTTATTGTTCAGTTGTGTTTTTCGAAGTCAATCTTTCTATGGATGGGGCAATTGGATGAGGTCACATCAATATGAGTTTCTTGTCATAAATGCATTTTGCCTTCCCAGAAATGCTTCGGTTTGTGTCAATTTGGCCTGTTGGCTCTTGAAGATTTGAGCTACTGGAATACAAAAAGTCTTATGTAAGATTAATGTAAGATTATTTTTGACTTACTTTTTGTGGTTAACATATAGGAGACAGCCTGACGATATTGAGGGCAGAGTTGAAGAGCCAGAGGAAGCATGTAAGAAGTTTGAAGAAAAAGTCGCTTTGGTCAAGGATTTTGGAAGAGGTGTGAGTTGGTACTGCTTTCGCTTTTTCTATTTTATGCTGGAGATTTTCTCATCCACCTCATGATATCAATCATCAAGTATGCAAATGGAACCTCAACTTTATCGAATGACTTATAAGTACGAACAGAGATGTTGTTACTAATGTAATGGTTGATTCACTTTGCTCTTTTTACCTATGGGGAAATCCAGATTGTGATTGTTGTTATGCTATAGTTCAATATTTGAAGCTAAGATCGTAAGTTCACTTTTTAGTTCATGAAGAATCAAAGTATTGTGTTTGCATCCAGCAGGAAGTAGTCTTAAAACCAACTCATGCAGTCATGTTTGTTAATTACTTTCAAAGATTCAAACTCCTTGTGCTTGAAAGTCTTGCTCTGACATTCCAAATGAACATTCTCATCTTGTACAATGATCTATTATACATCATATATGTGTATGAGAAGACAAAATTGTCTTCCTTTTGTAGGTAATGGAGAAGCTTGTTGATATAGTTCTTTTCCTACATTCGGAGATTCATGAAGCCTTTGGTACTGCTGGTATGCTTTAAAATGATTTTATATTACTTATGCTCTAAGCAATGTCATCTTATTGTCAATTTCAGTTATTCTGTGGGAGGGATTTGTCACTTATGAAATCTTTTTTCTTTGACGTTGCAGATTCTCATAAATCCTCAGGAGGTTCAGCGAGCTGCTCTAAAACGTTGGGTTCTGCTGGTCTTGCTTTACATTATGCGAATGTTATTGGTCAAATCGATACTCTTGTGAGTCTACAATTCAATCTGATGCTGAATACTCTGATCTTTCATGTTTGCGGTAAAGTTTCATTGGTAATTACTGTAGCTGATTATTGTGCTTGTGCTCCTTAGCAAGAACCATGAAAGCAAATAGGAAAGAGAAAACTAGGTCCTTGCTGAGTCTTGCTTTTCATTTGCCAAAAAAATTGCATCCTCAATGGAGGTAGCTATCTTCAGCTGTTCCATAAGCCACTCCAACAGAAACTTCTCTTTGTTGTTTGCGCATGGCTAGTGTGGGTTGTCAACGTGCATATATCAGATAATCAATAAAACTTGTTCAGTCAAAATCGTACCTATAGGCAAACTGCTATAAGTGGGTAACCTAGGAAAATCCTTCATGATGTCGCCATTCGTTTGAAATTCAATAGCAATGGACTATAAATAAAGATGTAAAAACAGTCGCTGTGGATGAGCCACCATGAATGATGATTAAATGAGTTAGTTTTTAAAAGAACCATTATTCTAATAAAGAAGCATATTTCTAGCAAACTTTATTCGGTCAAACTTCTTTTTTAAATTTTTTTGCTAGTCAGTCACACTGCTTTTGGGACAGAAGCCTCCACCCCCCCTCCCCCTTTGATTAATTTACCAACTAGTAAAAAGACGGCTTATCTAACTCAATGCACTTGGCCGGTTTATTGGCGTAGCAAGTTCTCAAGAACTTTGTGCGTCAAGTCAGAAGCCTGATTGAAAATTGAAAACTTTCAGTATATTAGCGCATGTTTTATTAGCTAATATACAGTTCTCCCATGTTTTTTTATGGAAAGCGTATAACATTGAATACTGTTTCGCATTTTTCAATAAATAGAAATGGAAAAGGTGTATTTTTATGTTACCAACTGGAACCTCGACTTAATTAGGTATCCCGCTCGGGTTCTGTACCTCCTAATTCAAGAGAGGCTTTATACCAAGGGCTACCTGCTCATGTGAAGACAGCATTGCGCTCAAAGTTACAGTCATTTCAACGTGTAGAAGAGGTATCAACTTTCTACATTGTGGTGGGAATGTCCCTTAAATTCCTGAGGACACTGATGAGAATCTCTCAATGTTCATAAACTTCTTATTTTGTCACTTTCCCGTTCCTTTCATAGTCATTATAAGCTACATTGATCAATTGCAATGGTGATTGCAGCTTTCTATACCACAAATTAAAGGAGAAATGGAAAAGACGTTGCAGTGGCTTGCTCCTCTTGCTGCTAATACTACAAAGTAAGAGTGCTATAGAAAAGTGATCATTTTGTTATCATGGTTGCTCATCTCATACTCTCCTGGATCTGTCTTACACCTTGGAGGCATGCGTACCATTTTATAAATGAGTAGCTGAGGGCCCCCTCAGTATAAAATGTCAAATGTCTACATGCCTTCAAAGTTGTGCTGTAGCTGCTGTTTCTGGAGTACTATCAAACATTATATCCGATACTATATGCCGTCATTTTCTGGTTGTCCTGCTTTAATGGTGTCGTAGTACATTCTCTTGGTTCTCCGCAACTCATTTTTGTTTGGCAAAGCAATTATTCTCATTTGATTCATTCTCTCTCTCAAACATCGTCGACAGAGCCCATCATGGCTTTGGTTGGGTCGGAGAATGGGCAAACACGGGGTAAGTTTCGACAATTTAAAGCTTTGCCCTTTTCTCTTCCACGATGACTTCATAGTCAATCTTTTAATGTTTTTTTACAGGTCCGATCTGAACCGGAAACCTACTGGCCAGAATGACTTGCTCCGCATCGAGACTCTACACCATGCAGATAAGGAAAAGACCGATGTCTACATCCTTGAGCTGGTGGTGTGGCTTCACTATCTTGTAAGCCAGGCTAGGGCTTCTAATGGTGGATTCAGATCTCCTGTTAAATCTCCTATTCGGTCTCCCAACCAAAGTACAGTCCAGTTACCTATGCACAGCAAGCCCGTATCTCCATCGTCTGCTTTGACAATCGAAGACCAAGAGATGCTTCGCGATGTGAACAAGCGGAAACTGTTGACCCCGGGAATAAGTAAGAGCCAAGAATTCGAGACTGCAAAAGTAAGGTTATGCAAGCATCATAGACTGAGTAAAAGCAGTAGTCACTCCCCAACCAGGGAAAGCCATAAAGATCCGTTTCCCCTTCTTCGGCGGCCGTCTTCTTTTCCCATCATAGATTTCGATATCGACCGGATCAAAGCACTGGATGTGATTGATCGGGTGGACACTATTCGAGGCGGTTGACTCTGCCCACCGAAGTAGGCCGAGTCTAGGTTTTTCGCCTCGTGGGTGGTAGGTCCACCGCCTCTCTGTTTTGGGTGCTTTGTCTATGGCGAAGTCCGCGTCGCTCGAGCTAGTCTGCAGATGAAGATTGGAGCCCAAGAAGTTGCTTGCAGCGGTGCAATGAGCAATAGTGCTTTTCGGTGTAACCTCGGTGCTGTGGGGAGGTAGCATTATAATTTTGTCAAATCCCCTGTATGCACAGAGAGACTACTTTGGTCACTCTGCAATGTTTCTCAGCTCACGGTTCTGTTTCTATATGTCCTTTGTTCTGCCTTGTTATACATACATCTCTTAACAAATCTAAAACATCGCTAACGCGATGGATACGGCGAGAGAGTAGCCCGCCTGCGCGGCATTCGATCACGGTCGAAGCGAGTGAAACCAGGGCACGGCTTTCATGGGGGTTACCCCGATATTCATACTCGAAAATGGCCAGAAGAGAGCGGGGATTCGGTCGAGCTCAAAAGTTGAGCTTCACCCGGACCCGAGCCATGGTGGGGGATCTCCCCGGAATCCGCTTCTTGCCCTGACCGCATACGTCACGAGATGCTGACGTCAACCCGGGACCGCCCGTTGGCCTGTGAAAACCAGAAAACAGCTTTGGCTCGTGACGTCAACCCGGGACCGCCCGTTGGCCCGTGAAAACTAGAAAACAGCTTTGGCTTTCACGGTGTCGCGTACTGTCGGTGCCGCCGACGTGGCGAGCCCCCATTCGCCGAGGAAAGGCGCTGCTGCTTGGGCGAGAGGCCAACCAACCGTCCAACCAACGAACGCCTCCGTTTCAAGCCTAACCGAAACAAAAACACGCACAAATCCAAATCCAATTCCAAAAGTTTCGGTAAAAGAGAGAAAGGGAGAGAGAGAGAGAGACTCCTCTTCTTCTTCTTCTTCTTCATTGTTCATAATGATGGATGGCGCTGGCGCAAGCTCGGCGGAGAGCAGCTGCGGCGGCGGCGGCGCGTGCGCTTACGGCCTCCTGCTCAGCGCGCTCTCCCTCGTTCCGATCTGGCACTACGCTCTGGGCGCCTGCCTCGGGTCCGCCGTCTTCCTCTACCGCTTCCTCGAGTGCCATCTCTTCGAGGACCTCGCCTCCCGCCTCCGATCCTCCCCTCCCAAGCTCACGTTCAGCTCCTCCTCCTCCGTTTACGCCGCCGTCGTCTCCAAGTGCCGGATCCTTCACGGAAAGTAATCTACCTCGCTCCTCCCTCCCTCCCTCCCTCTCTCTCTCCCTCCGAGTCGATAGTGATGGTTTTGGAATTTCCGATTGGTTTTCCCGTCCGTTGCGGACGAATCGGCGGACGGCGGAAGTGGAAATGAGCTCGCTCGATTTCATGCTGATATGGATTATGAACGTGAACGTTGAGAAATGGAGCTTTGTTGAGAAGATTTTGTTGGAGCTGTCTGGCTAATTTGAAAAGCATGCAGGTACTTGGCGACTCCATGGCTCGCGAGCCCTCATGTTCAGACCGTGTTCCTAAATTTCTTCGGGAGGCCGCCATCTTTCAGCTACAGAAGGTGATGCATCTGTATAAATCATATCATATGTTAATCCAGAGTGAAGATGTAAACTAAGCATCTCACGAGGTGAAGCCTCCTTCGTGGAGCGGTAACTGTCGAATACATGCGTCTTGCACTTGTAGTGTTGTGCTATGCCACCGAAGCAAGTGTCGGAGGATGATTCAAATATAGTTTATGTCTGGAGTCCAAGTGATAGAATCAACTAGCTCTGTCTGACAGGGTTGCTTTATGTTGGTGTTCTGGAAAATGCAGCAGCCCTGGTATAATGTGCTTGTTTACTGAGAATGACTGATGCAAATGTATGAACTTTCAATGACTTTCCTCTGATTTTATGGGCTTTTCCGCGCCAATTTACTGCATTTCACGTTCTTAACTAATTTTCATGCTCATAAATCAGTATAATGTAAACAGAGTTGGCTTTGTCTTTTTTGAGGACGAAATGAAGCTTTAGATGATCTATCAAGAAGAATGATTTTGTGAAAGATGTTCAATTAGGAAGGAGTTCAGTGAAGTCCAGGAAAAACGGAGCAAGAGCTTAATAATAAAGACCTCTGGAAGATCCTATGGAGGACATGGTGTTTGATGGAGTGCAATGGCAAGAACAATTCTTGTGGCTGAACTTGTAGAGTGGGAGATTTAGTAGTTGTTGCCGATAAGCAATAGCAGTCTTTCAATTGTCGTTAGTTTTCAATAATTTTTTATTTATGCCCTTATTCAAACTCATCTTGGTAAGATTAGTTAGAGATTTTGACTGCAGTTTCAACAATGCCTTTGGTATTCCGTTGCCGATAATTTTACTCTTGGTCAACATTGTAACAAGGGGAGCTTTGCTGATTGATTACCATGATAGTATCTTAAATCATATCTCTGCTTTTTTCCTTTCATTGTTCCCTTTGCAATGAATTGATAAACAGAAGTCCAGTGACAAGCAAACTGGGCAAGCACGTGCGTGTTGGTCTGATTTAACAAATCTACACCTGCTTTTTCTTGCAGGCAAATATTTCGGACTTCTGATGGGGGGACAATTGCTTTAGATTGGGTATTGAGTTCAGATGGTGAGCCCGAGTTGCCTGTTGTTGAACATCATAAGTTCCTTACACTTCTGGAATAATTTCTTTTTCATTTTCTTTTGTCATCTGTACGATAATGTTTCAGTTAGATTGGTCAATTGACTAGCACTTTCAACTCCCAGGTCGTTGCTCTAAAATATATAAGTTTCATTCCTTATAAGGAAGCAATGTGAGGCATATATAGCAGTTACCTACCCACAGCCAATAATAATAAACTATTTGCCGTTTTCCATCTCAAATTGGGGTAGAACTTGCGGAAGATTCGGTCAACTTTCATTTATTAATTAGTTATATGCCTCTCCTTGTAATCTAAATACTTAATATAAGTCAAGTGCAGACCGTGTGATTCTTGCTCATTTACTAAATAACCTACTCAACACTGTGCAGTCAGGGGCACATATTGATTACCTTCAGTGAATGATGCTGATGAATCTGTGCAGTGTCTGGAGGTGCCTTTCACATGGAAAGTTCCATTTCGAAAGATGATACAACTCCCATTGTGGTGGTGGTTCCTGGCTTGACAAGTGATTCTTGTTCTGCTGTAAGTACCTTCCCTAGACGAAACCCAAAATTCTTGATGGTTTTCTTGTGATATCAATCTATGATATGATAGGTTAGAATTCTATCTAAGGACTTAAAGTTCTGAATCTTGTCAACTTTTCTAAATGGCGCAAGGATTTCAAAGAATTAAGTTGAGCAAGAATGTGGATTCTTTTGGTGTTGCTGATGTCTTGAACAATTGTTTGCTTTAATTATCAATTGATAATATCCTTGTTGTTCCTTTTATCAGTATAGTGGTTAGATAGGATGGGTGATTTCTCTATGATGCACGTGGCTTTCATTTTTCCTTTGATTGAAAGATAATACCTTGAGTGCCATTGCCTATCATAGATATAGGTCTCTCCATCAGTAGCAGCTCTATTCGGGTAGTGATCATGAGTAGTTCTTGCTCATTTGTTGGCAAATTTTTTATAGCGGTCTGCAATCTGAACCCACTTATGCAGAGCCAGTCTGATTCATTTCAATCGAGTGAATGAAGTTTGCCTGATTTGTAATTGCAAAATGGTAACCCAAAATATTCATGTAATTTCACAGTTAACCATGTATCAGACGAAAAAATTTTCCGTGACAGCACATGCATAATGTTTGCAAGTAGCCCTTCTTTCACGCCCTTGGACCATTAGGATTGCCTAACAATTGGGAAGGAAAATTTTTTAACACAGATCTTTTACTCGTTAAGCTTTTGTTTATTGGCATTAAATGGACAAGTTTCTATCATGTCTTTTAATTTCTCTTGCAGTATTTAAAGCATCTTGCTTTCAACACTGCCAAAAGCGGATGGAATGTTGTTGTAAGCAACCATCGGGGACTAGGTGGTGTGTCAGTTACGGTAAGATTTATTGAAGCTAGAAGGTTAAAGATTTATAGTAGAAGGAAGATTGTACAATTGATGATGTGGCTTCATGACGTTTGACGCTTATTAGTTTGACAACAGTTGTATGTCTGTCTAATTTGCTTGTTTCTTTTTTCTCTGATTTTTCTCTCTGAAATGAAATTCTGCATGCCGCTGCACTAGCATGGTCTCTTTCAAGAGCATCCTATTGTTCCAAAGGTTGGACCCGTAACTATATGCTATTAAAGCAGTGAAGTCTGGGATTTCATCTTGTTCAATATTTATATCCTTTTTGCAATGAAACATTCTATATTCAATCTATTTCATGCTTAAACCATAGAAATTACCTGCGATAGATCTCTGATATAGTGTAGAAAAATTGTTAAACTTTTGATGGTTTGCCTAGACATGTCAGTTTTTACATGTAAGAAATTTGCTATACTGTGATCTTGAGTTTTATGGTGATAGATGCTAGCTCGTCTGCCAGTTCTTGTTTCTCTTTCTCTAAGTGATTCTTTTCTCCTATTCTGTTTAGATTTCCATTTCTCATTTCCTCATACATTACAGCACATTCCCTGTTAACAACTTTTCATGAACTGCTGATTATGAAATGATTCTAATAACTGCAGTCTGATTGCTTTTACAATGCTGGTTGGACGGAGGATGTCCGCGCTGTCATTGACTATCTGCATAATGAGTACCCAAAAGCTACTTTATTTGTCGTGGGAACTAGCATCGGGGCCAACATTTTGGTAACTTATATCTCTCATTGAAATCTACCTTTTGCATGTTACTTTAAGAATGTTCAACAATTTCCATCACTAGAAGGTCTATTTTGAGAGTGTCGTATCATATATGATCCCCTCGTAGCAAGAAGTTGCAGTCTTCATTGCTTTTTGTTTCTGTTTTCCATTAAAGCTTGCACATTTATTATGACGAGAAGTTTCTTTTCAACCCATGGATTTCTTTCCTTTATAAATGTTCACAGCGGTTTTCAGTCGAGTATCTCTAGCCCTTATCCTTGGGAAAAAGAATATTGCTTATTTTTAAGGTCTCTCTGAGGATATATGTTTCTATTATGTACTACGGCAGTTTTCAGCGGAATCTTGACACAAATAACTGTTTCAGGTAAAATATCTTGGGGAGGACGGAGAGAATGTTCCTGTTGCTGGCGCTGTTGCAATTTGCTCCCCATGGGATCTTTTGGTTAGTTCAACTTCACTTAAATTGAATAGAACTTGAGCAGTTATATATCTTCTGGTATCAAAATAGGGCATAAGTAGTAGTCTCTTTAGAATGGAGAGAATGTTCTTGTTGCTGGCGCTGTTGCAATTTGCTCGCCATGATTTTTTGGTTTGTTTTCGACTTGACTTAATTTTGCTAGAACTTGAGCAATCATACATCTTCCTGTATCAAAGCAGGGCATAAGTAGTACTCTCTTTGGCACGAAGACCTTATAGTTTGCTATCAAAATTGAAAGTTGAAAACAGGAAGAGAACACATGAACTGTTATTGGACACCAGTTGACAACATATCATGGTGCATCGTTTGAGAAAAATGTACAGCCCTTGCATATTTTACGGCTGTACTACTGCAGGAATTTAGAGTGTCCTGTATGCGTCTCCTGAGACATATGAGATGGCGCGAGAGTTTTGCCTCTATTGTTCTTTCGGTAGATCCAATCTTTCTGCTTTTAGATACAACAGAAAATATAAGCCGTTCTTACAAGCTATTATCTTTTTATTGACCTCAAATTGTGGGATGCTACCGGAAAATAGATTGAAAAGGTTCATTGACAATTATGTTTTAATCACAGGAGCATATAGCATTTCAATAATTATGCCTTTTATTATCAAGAAATATAGGTATTGCTGGTCTTTGAACTTCTGTGTTTTGAGTGCATTTTTTAGGGCTATAGTTATCTTGTTCCTTTCACGAGACTAATGGTCTGAGTTGTCTTGTTGTGTCTCAACCTTTTTGAACTCTTTGCTGTCCCTTTTGCTTCCACTGCCTTAGTATTTTTCATCTTTTCTAAGTCCATTTATACCTTGTCAGTCACTATAGAATTCCTAAATGTTGTCCTTTGACATTGGATATTTTATTGGCTTCTCTGCATGCGTAATCTTAGAAAGCCTTGCTATCATTTCTTCTGCCTGACTGCTGATAGTTTCCTCCAGGGGAAATGATATGAGAAATGCATGGACAATTCTTTCTTCTCTTAAATTCTAGTCATTTAAAAGTGGTATGGATAGTTTCTCGATTATGTGCGTACAACTGGAAGGAGCTGTTTGCTCTTATCTCTAATTGCGGATTGGTGTAGAATTATCAGTAGATAACATTGTTTGTAATATTACTGGAAGGAACTGTATGCTCTTCTTTTTTTTTTATGCAGATTGGTGATAGATTTATTAGTCGAGGACTACGGCAGAAGATCTACGATAGAGCACTTACCATTGGCCTCCAAGGCTATGCACAGTTGTATGTCAATTTCATAGAGTGAATCTTTCTGCGTCAGACATCTCTTCTATTACTATATAATTGAGCATTATTAATGTCAATAGGATTAATCTCCGCATATTCTTAGGTTGACATATTTTTAAATGGTTTTGCAGACATCAACCCCGCTATTCTCGCCTTGCTGATTGGGAGGGCATCAGAAAGGTTCCCTTTTCTTACGCTTTCTGTATTTGTTTTAAGTTTAAGAGCAACAAATTCTGGATGCTCCCTGATTTAAAAGAACTCAATTTAGTCTCTCTGTTATCCTTAGTAGTCAACTATAGGGCCCAATCAGTATGACGCCAATTACAAATTGAGCTCAATCAGAGCTCATTTCTTTATTGAAAAAGAAAATCAGTTTTTGGGCTACCAAACGTGATTAAAGACTAGTGTTATAACATTGGTTTATTTTGGCAGACTATAAATAGGTTAAGAATAATATCCAATTCAATCTCATATCATTTGTTGCACGTGTGAGAACACGAGTAAGGGAAGTGTCTGTGTGCATACTTGGGTATGCATGCTTTGTCCATAAGAGTGATCAATTGATAGATGAAAGTAAAGTGTAATTTAGCACCAAGAAGCATAAAGAAGGTCAGGGCATGTGAGAGATGACTTTTGCATTGTTTGTCTGCGTCCTGGGTACCTTTTCTTTGTCATTCACTGCGCATTATGGTCATGGTGGTTATGTCTGGCTTCATTTCCTGGGTCTTCTAATTGTATCTAGGGTTTCATTTTGATAAAATAGTGCTATTTCATTGAGAAAGGGCTTCTTTTTCCTGTGCTCGAAGCTGGGGTAATGCCTTTAATTAGATCAGCATATCTAGTAGAGGTTGTGGGTGTACTACATTAGCCCCATTTTTTGTACTAAGGGCATTGGGAAACATTTGATTCCACAGAGTTCCAGTTCTTCAGTCAAACGATATGAATAATGTTTACTATACCTCTGGAGATGTGTAATGTATATATTTCTCTACTTTAAAGGTTCATTGTTTTCACAAATTCAAGGAGGGGCCCTGGTCTTTTTCATTAACTTGTGCTTAGACAGCGACATCTAATCTCAAAGTCAGCTCACTCAAATTAACAACTCAGGCAGTAGGCATGGGCAATATTATACCTGCATTCTTGAGATATTTGGCTATAGAAATTTTCAAAGTCTTCACATGATTAAGAAGGCAACCTTCGCTGTGCATTGTACTGCCGGACTTCGTAGGACATCGATTTTATTGGCATCTTTTTATGCTTTTTATGGATGCCAAATTCGGCACTAACTAGACTTTTCAAGTTCGCAGTTTGTCACCGCGCATAGTACATAAGAGAACGTCTTGCTTCTTTGTGGTTAGTCTGATTTCATCTTGCTAATAACGCTCGATATTCTTCATGTTCCAATAGTCACGCTCTATTCGAGATTTCGACAATTACGCTACCTGCCTTGTTGGGAAATTTGAGGTACTGATATCATGCTCTTCATATCCTTGCCATTTTGGTTGTTCTTCTGTGAGTTCATTAATATTGCATCATTTCTACTCAGACAGCAGATACATACTATCGGCGTTGTAGCAGTGCTAATTATGTAGGAAGTGTTGCAGTTCCACTGCTGTGTATCAGTGCTTTAGATGATCCCGTTTGTACTAGAGAAGCCATTCCATGGGATGAATGCAGGTTGAACTTATGTGGTTCACACTATATTTTAGACTTATTATTTGAGCGCCCGTCCTAAAACTTCATGTTTGGCAGGGCAAACAAAAATATAGTTCTGGTTACGCCAAGGCATGGAGGGCACTTGGCATTTTTCGAAGGAATAACTGCAACAAGCCTGTGGTACTTCATGGTTCAATTTCAATGCTATATTGATGTTTTCGACTCTGCGTTATTGAAATGCCAGCCTTCCTCCAAATGCATCAATCACTTAGCTTCTAGGAAAACTCAAGTTGTTCTGTGCTAGAATATTTAGTTTGTTGTCGTACCAGAACTGCAAGTTTTTTGAGTGCTCACTAATTTACTCTTGACATTTATTTTGTTGGGAACATTTTGTATTTAAGGCGACTCTTTAGTTCTTTGGATCTTGCAGTCTACACCCATCGTTTTTCTTCTGTTTGGCAAACTTTAGCCGTTGGTTGTAAGATGCAGGATAAAAGATAGAGAACCTTGATACTGAATATCAATTCCTTCTTCATTAACATCTGTTTATCCTTCTCGTGTCACATCAAAATCTTCTTGTTGGTCTGATGGATTCTTGTTTCATTATTTGTTTCACTTTTTACCAGGTGGGTACGGGCTGTCAACGAGTTTCTTCACATCCTACATTCTAGTCCATGCATGCATGTAAAGAAGGTACAAATCACCATTTGTGGTGCTTACTTTTCCCTTGGGAAGAGAGAGATATTATTAGTAAAGCTCATAGCTTCTGAAACATCAATAATTTAGTACGCACTCAGTTATTGTCTTCATGTCACTGCAGAGTCAAACATCTGCTCTGCACTCGGCTCTGGAGTCTTCAATCGATCAGGGTCCTTACGTGAATGTGGCTGATGGAATGGTGGCTGCAATGGGAAATGAGCACACAAAAGATGCTGTGGTCGAAGAAGAAACGGTACTACAAAAGAATCCAAAAGTGAAAACCGAGGAAACATCTTTAGATGCAGAGAAGAACGCCCATATAGCAGGAATGAACGGCAGTTCCGAAATCTCTCAGAATCCTGTAGGCACTCAAAGCGTCATGCCAATGGATGTAAATTCCTCGGTCTTGAGGAGTATAAATCAGATCGTGCGAGTGACTAGAAGATCTATTTGGCTGCTTGCGTATATTGCTATAGTTACAACTTGGCCAATCATCGGCTCAGCCCTTGGCATCGTTTTCAAAGGGAAGCTTAAAAACATGTTACCTGCAGTTCTGCGTAGAAGATAATTGGCCGCAGCGCTCCCGTGGAAAGTAAGTTGTATCATGAATTATTATTGCCTTCTCACTCATTGTGAAGGTTTTATCATCGTCAACGGTGAAATTATCTGTCAAATCCAAAAATATTAATAGATACACGAAACAACGGAATTATCAGACCTGAAGATCACTGGGTTTCTTTCTTGATGCCCCGGCCGTTTGAATTACCTCATGTTTTGCATCAAGGTTAAATTCGAAAGCAGCCTCATCTTCGAATAAACCGATTATCGGTTATAACCGACCGGGCATTACAATGAGATCTAATGACATGCGTCGATATCTTCTCTCTGTGCTCGCATTGTTCATACAAAAGAAGCTTATAGTTTTCATCTCCCAAAAGTCTTTCCATGGTCGCATCGTTCTATGCCCCGGTTCATAGGACATCTGGATATCCCAGTTTATGTGAATGCAACTGCTGGAACAATGCCAAGGAATTCATGCGGATCTCCATATGTCTCTCCCTCGGTCAGGACCGTAGCGGAAGATGAAGAACGACATAATTTGGAAAAACCCGACTTTCTCTCTACTCCTAATATTGGGGCGAAAAATCAAAACTACGTAAGATCAGATAAATACTCGCACAGCAGCTCATTAAGCCAGAAACTGCTGCGTGCCATGCCTTTCATCGACCGCGAACGCCGCTAGCCAAAGCTCCTCTCTCCTGACCACAGATGGGCTCTTCGGGACCTATACAGCGTATGCGAGATTCGCCTTGGTAAGGACCTACGTAATCCCTCATTTCTCATTACGTGGTACGACTTTCCACTCCTTCTCCTTTTCAAGACCATGGCCCCCTCTAGTGACGGTCAATGTACGGCCAAAGGGGCTCGTAGCGGAAGCCTAGAAGGTGGCCCTCTCGATGAGTGGAGGGGGTTTGATTTGTGACTAACATTGCCTCTTCGTGCGTGCGAGGTGAGCAAACATACGACTCTGTTCTCAAACTCTCTATCCTACGATCGTGAGCTTTTCGTCCCGCTGATTCAATGCTCTGTTGAACTTGAATTGGTCCATAAAAAAAAAAAAAAACAGAGGACTTGTCGGTTCGTATGAGCTGCTGTCTGCTTTGACTAGTAGGCTCGACCCTCCCTTACAAAGCTATGGACACTTCTTCTGAATCTTCCCCCCGACGTAATCTTCCATTCTCTCAAAGATCATGGTCCTTCCTTTAATCGAATCAATTTTAATCTCTCGAGATCACGGCTCGCGATACATTAGAACCTGGTTCTTATTTAGTCGATACTTTTTCGCCCGTTTTCAACCAATCACGAACTTCTCCAATACCGTAAACTCAGCCGATGTAAACTTTCGGAACCGTCGAGCATTTTCTTCCCCCCAAAATTGTATATATCGCGCGTATCCTTTAGGATTCCCAAATAAGAGTCGAGGGTGACCGATTGCAGACGGCAGGATGACGCGGCCGGAGTGGTATCTTACAAAGGGGTGGTGAATCTGCCGTCGCTTTTGATTAGGACAAAGGTCTTAGGTTGAGAAAGCGACGTCTTTTTCTATTTTTTACTCCCCCCCCCCCCCCCCATTCAAGATCACGGATCGAGCTATGAAACGAAGAAAACAGAATCGACGACCCACTTGCGCTTTTCAGCATTATTTGCACCCCCCAATTCAAGGGCGTGTGCGGAGGAATCGAACCTTCCTGCTTTGTACCAAAAACTGTGCGCACCTCCTTCCTGGAAACTAATATTCAAAACCCCATGTCCAAACACAAGAAGAAAGAGATAAAGAAAGGAGAAGAAATAGGCAGGACAAGGACATGGCAAAATCCAAATCGGCATCCCCCATTGCGATCTCAGCCTCCGTAGACGTAAGCCTTTGGACTCTTGTCGCGAGGAAGCATCTTCACGACCCTTTTAGAAGTTTGTTCAAGACTTGTCCTGCGCACCTTTTGATATTACAATAAGCCTCCTCGTCTCCTAGCGTTTGAATCGGTCTCCAAGAACTTTCTCCGCATTTTCTATTCGTGCTTTCGTTATGGAGATAAGGATCGAACTTGTCTTTCCAAGGCTCGGAAAATTGCTCGCGAATCTAATGAATTGAGAATAGGGATCAATCTTCTTTGAGATAATTATAAAAGGAAAAGGTAAGAAAACAATAGAGGGAGAGGAGGAAAACGGGGGGATGCAAAAAGACGAGGTAGCAGATCCGAGGATCGGGCAGTTAGGATGATGCTTGACTTGGAGACTTCTTTACATTAAATTAACCCAAAGTTGTGGACTATGTATCCGTTTCATCTGTTTTCCTATATGTGTACAAAGAGGGCTCAATACTTTCTAATGAAATTATACGGTTATGTCGAAATCTACGTGTACGTCGGGAACTGTTTTCATCTGCAGAAGGGATCGTTAGATGCGGGTTTTGTCCGACTTGGGAATCTTATTTCACGTAGGTTCGCTTAGTATTTGCAATTCGACAATGTACATTTATCTAGTACTCGCAAAGGCACACATATCTTCCGGCGGACTTTCGAAAAATCGGCATCGTCGAATGAGAAAGCGAAATTTGCCGACGCGGGCTATCTATCGTCCTTGGGCGAGAAATTCCCTCCGATCACGCCTTTTAATTGGCCGGTTACAAATTGCAGACATCGCATACATGCAAATATGACTTAACAGAAGTATGTGGTTCACGTACGTATTTGCACGGCCACAGTACCACGATGTGTGATCTCTTTGCCAAAAGGAAAAGGACGAGATGCATTGTGTTGTGTGGCCAGAAGGGGAAATCGAGGAAGTAGGCTTCAATTTCCAGGTTGATCTAACACGAAAGAATATTACCAAGTTCCGAATGTTTATTGGCGGATTAGACCAGCGGAAGGGCCAAGAACTATTCACCACTACCGTATTAGCAACAAAATAATATCACCAAAGTTCCTCAAAAACAATTGCATTCTCACTTTTTCTTTCGTATGGTCGGGACTCATATCACACGACCGTCGAATACTTATTTTCCTTGTGAGAACGGAACATCTGTCTTTGACCGGACCAGGGAGATGAATTGGCGTGGTTGAAGAAAACGTTCCGGACATATCGATTTTGGCAATATCCCCAAGCATGTTCGATGTATATGCTCTTTCGGAAATTCACGTGTCTAGGGTGTTGGTAATGGTGGTTGCATAGGGGAACCTAAGCACGCCATATGTCAACCTTCGAAGCTCGTATCAACCACCCTTTCCCCCTCCAAATTAATGTAGCAACGTTGCGTCGACATAATCAAAAATGTTTTTCTTGGGCAACAGCACAACCAAAATCAATCGAGCAAGGGGCCAAACATCGTAATTAGTGACGTCATAAAACTACACGCATGTCCTCCACCAAGAAACCTTTGAAAAAGTCAATCTCCCGACGCTTGCCCCCATCTTGTTGTGCGACTTTCTAAGGTTGAGAAGAAAAGAAAAGAGGGAAGAAGGAAACAATGCACACACCCCCCACTTTGGAATCGTTCAAACGGCCTTCTCAATGCGAGGAAGTTTCCTCCTTGACCCTCCTTAATTAGTGGCTTTAAATTCTTAATCTCGAGTCAAGACATGATCCACTCTTTGTTCTTGTTTTATTCAAAGGACATGCCCGAAACAAGAAGCGGCATCAAGGACACATGAGTTCTTGATTTTTTCTTTTGTTGTTATTACATGATTGTTAGCATATTTGAAGTGGATATAGAGGAGGTCTTTAAAGTTAAAGATCATCGTTTCCTTCACCCATTTGATTATAGCCACGATGAGACTATGTAGAGTATAGTTTGCATGCATTGGGAACATTTACAAGGTTTCGAATATGCTTCTAGGTAATTGAACTCCTAACCCATGATTTTGTCCACGACAGGTTCGATCGAAACCGGCGTACAACGTCGTTACGGGTTAATATTAAGGTGATGATTAACGATGTGGAATCGTATATGATACATCTAGGCTCGGTTTATGTACGCATGTGACCTTAATTTTCCTAAAATGTCGTGTGGGCATGGTACAATCCAATGAGGGGTCGCACGTTCAAGATCCCTTAGGGTCATTGGACCCTCATCCATCTTTGGCGGGAAATTTTAATGTAATCTTTCCGGTAGATTTTCGACAGAAATCGCCGAGGTAGCTAAACTGAGATTTCGCGTAAAAAGTTTAGGATCAAATTGGCAAAATCGAAAAGATTTAGGACCGAATGACAATCCCCACAATAGATACAAGACCGATCGGATAATTTTTCTTTAATTCAACAGCTTCGGAAACTGTACATCAAGCAGTTCCATCGTTTCACAACATAAGCCGTCGAATACTACTGTTTACTCACAATTAGATACTTGGTGTAGGGTATATGCGATCCAATACCAAAAAATTATACTAACCAAGAGAGGAAGGATTTGGAGAGCTCCAAACTAACTTTCAAAGCACGGTGAAAAAAGGCAAATTTCAACAGCTAGCGTTGGCTAGGATTTGAAAACAGCAAAGTAGAGAGAGAGAGAGAGATTTGTTCAAGCATCTAGAAGAAACGTCGAGTCATCGAAGTGGACGGTAGGGTTAGGATTCCCCTTTTTTCCCGCTGCTTTTTGTCGACTGCGTATGGCATCTTCTCATCCTCCTCAACTACCAATGGACCGCCATCCCCAGAAATCCCCCATCCTTGTCCTCACCATAGATATATGCCCCGGATTTATTCTTCTTTTCTCCCTAAGTATCATAGCTATCAAAATGTCTCTTCACCTGAGAACACCCTACCCATAGTTTAGAATTAGCAAGAAAAATAAAAAGATGCCATTCTAATCTCGCGATGTCATTGGAGCAGGAATAAAGAAAGAATACAACTCTCTCTCTCTCTCTCTCTCTCTCTCTCGCTCTCTCTCTCTATCTCTTGAATTGGCTTCTCGCTCCCATGGGAACATAAAATGACACCCTGAAATTCAAAGTCATGTGCCCCTTCCACACTTCCATAAAAGGGTCTTGTGTGTTCTTGTTCCTCTCACCTACTACATTGATTCTCTCTCTCTCTCTCTCTCTCTCTCTCTCTCTCTCTCTCTCTTTGAAACTCTCAACCAATGGAAGAAAGAGAAGATCAAGACGAGCTCTTGAACCTGAGCCTGGCCATTGTTTCGTCAGGTTATGGTGATGAGGCCAGGTTGAGGAAGAGGAAGAGATCGATGTCTAGGGATGATAGCGGTATTATCTTGAATTCTTCCGATGCGTTTGAAGGACGCGAGGGCAAGATCTTCAAGCTCCTCCAGATGAGAGAGGAAATGCTCAGTACCGAGCACAAGAGATCGAAGCAGATGAACCCACATCAAGAAGATGGCAAGGGGCTCCACTTGATCCACCTGTTGCTCATCGTGGCCACCGCAGTTGACGAGAACAACGCCGGCTTGGCCCTCGACAACCTTGCGGAGCTGTACCAGACCGTGTCGCTGACCGGCGACTCAGTGCAGCGGGTCGTGGCCTACTTCGCCGATGGGCTCGCCGCCAGGCTTTTGACCCGGAAGTCCCCATTCCACGACATGATCATGAAGAGACCGACCTGTGAAGAGGAGTTTGTCGCATTCACCTACCTCTACCGGGTCTCACCGTACTACCAGTTCGCGCATTTCACGGCCAACCAGGCCATTCTTGAGGCCTTCGAGAGAGAGGAACAAGTTAACCACCGTGCTCTGCACGTCGTCGATTTCGACGTATCGTATGGCTTCCAGTGGCCTTCTCTCATCCAATCTTTATCCGAAAAGGCGACGAGTGGGAATAAAATCTCCTTACGGATCACCGGCTTTGGGAGGAGCCCCGAAGAGCTCCAAGAAACCGAGGGCAGGCTAGTCAGCTTCTCAAAGGGTTTCAAGAACATAGTCTTTGAGTTTCAAGGCCTGTTACGAGGATCAAAGCTCGTAAACCTAAGGAAAAAGAAACAAGAGACCGTCGCGGTAAACCTAGTTTTCCACTTAAACATGCTGAGCAATTTCGCAAAGATCTCAGAGACTCTCAAGTCGGTACATTCACTCAAGCCGTCGATCGTGATGCTTGTGGAGCAAGAGGGTAACCGAAGCCCTCGGAGCTTCCTCTCGAGATTCATGGAGTCCCTGCACTACTTCGCGGCGATGTTCGACTCTCTAGACGACTGCCTTCCGTTGGAAAGCTCGGAGCGGCTGAGCATAGAGAAGAACCACCTCGGCAAGGAGATCAAGGCCCGGTTGAACTACGAGAAGGATGACGGGAGCTGCACGCGGTACGAGAGGATGGAGACGTGGAAGGGGAGGATGGAGACTCACGGTTTCGCGGGGATGAAGCTGAGCTCCAAGTGCATGATACAAGCGAAGCTCCTACTGAGAATCAGGGCACACCATCGTCCTCTTCAGTTCGAGGGCGAGAACAGCGGGTTCAGAGTGATCGAGAGAGACGAGGGAAGAGCGATCTCTTTAGGGTGGCAAGATAAGTCTTTGCTAACAGCCTCTGCATGGCATTGTGTATGGTAGAGAGAGAGAGAGAGAGAGAGAGAGAGAGAGAGAGAGAGAGAGAGAGAGAGAGAGAGAGAGACTTCTAACACATTCATCGATTATTATCATTGTTATTGTTTTTTGTAACTGCGACAGCGACTAATGAACAAAGTTCCGCAAGATTGCTTTCTAAGGTTGCTTTGGTTCGATCTCTGTACTGTATCTTACAGTCTACGTACGTTGTGTTCTTCAGTTCCAACACCTCGTATTTGCACTTGCAAGTATCAATACGTCTGTGTACGTTGGCATTCACACCTTACGTTTATGCTTGTAATAGAGAGAGGTTTGACCTCCGTGATTGACACGATAATCATGGTCTTCTCAACTTAATCATTTTTTAGGTCGTTTGCTCGGGAAACCATGTTGGTATATAGATAGATCGTCTGTAAATCCAATGATGAAAAGACACTACTTTGGTCTTCCGAAGTCAACTCCTATAACCCCCTATTGCACCTTCGGTCCGTTTTAAAGAAACAAAATTTTTCTCCTAATTATATACTTCTATGTTCAAAACAAATTTTCAGTTTCTACGTACCTTCGAGCTGGTCTATATGCTAATCTAAACTTCGCATAGCCTGAAGATAATTTCGACATAGACATTGAAGACCGGCCGATCTAATCGGACACGGAACAATGGGCCAATTCGTGCATAGGGGTGAGTGAGCATGGGTCGTGCAATTTGGTTTCGATGACGAGCCAAAGGGAATCGAACTGAACTAGTTTGGTTTGGGAAAAGAGAACCAAGTTGAACTAAGAAAGGGCTTAAAACTAAACTGTCTTAGTTCCATTTGTCATATGTGTCTGAAATATACTTCTTCCATTCAATTTTCCATCAAAAGTCAGCTTTCCAAAAAATGGGAAGAACTAAGAAGGATAGGTATTTGAAGCCAAAACAATGTCGAGAGATGGCCTATTGAATTGATCTAACCACAATAGGAAGCTCTATCATAAGGAGAAAATGAAAAGTATAAATAAATTATTAAATTGGATTTTGGAAAGTAATCTGGGCTTTCAATTCGCCAGAAAGTTCTTGTAATTTCAAGATAATTGGGATCCTCTAAATTTAGCTACATTTACCCCCTTAGATTCTTCTTTCCAAATTGGCCCCCGTTTCCATCTCAATCGTCAATTAAGGGCGCGAATGATATGTTTTTCTATTTTTTTGTTCCCGGGAACAGGTTTTGAAGAGAAATCTGTTTGGTAAAAAAATTTCATTTTTTTATTTCTGGGACAAATTTTGATCCAAAAATAGATTTGGAACAAAAATGAGAAGTTAAAATTTTCTACTTTTGTATTTCTGGAATAGAAATACAAATAACAACTCTTTTTTATTGCTCACCCTTGCCGCCCACCGCCGCCTACTAGTAGCTGGTTGCCGGCCGCCGTCGCCGCCGCTCGTCGGCCGGCGGGAATATAAATTTTGTGTTGTTATCAAACGAATTTTTATTTCGGGAATATAAATTTTATGTCGTTATCAAACGCTACTTTTTGTTTAGAAACTCGTCTAGGAAAGAGAAATAGAATTTTCTATTTCTAACTAGAAATAGGGCCGGGGAAGAGAAATGTTTTCATTCGCGCCCTAAATGTGCACGACCCCTCCTTTGTCCTTGACGAGGATAGGGGAGGGGAGACGGAGGCCCTGTTGGTCACTCGAGCCTGAGTGGCGACGTCAGGGTGGTTGACTAGTGGCATGGGCGTGCGGCGGCAGCGTGATTGAGATTCTGGCAGCTCGAGTGCATTAGTGTCATGGTAGTGGTGGAGGAGGAAAAGAGAGGGAAGCGAGTGTGTGACGGTTTGTATAAACTTAGTTAAGACATAAAAGGGCATATTGCTCGGAATGTAACTTTACCAGATAAAATTATCTCAAAATATAGATAATCTCAATTCATTTTGACCCTTTTGTGAACTGCACTAAATACAGCGGTTCAAATTGTGCTCAACCTTACCATAGTCTGTCTCTATCATATAGGCCAAATTATCTAAAGAAAAATCCAAACTTTAAGTTCAATTCCAATTCTATCTTGAATTTTGTTTGTTTGAATAAAAATTCCCGATTTTTCACTCTATTCCCGAATTTACCCCCGCATCAAAAAATCGCCATTATTTCCTTCAAAATTATCAACATCGGAGCCGGCTAGAGAGGGTCATTATCAAAACCCGAGTCCTGATGAACACCCTCACTTTCGAATGAAATAACATCAATCTCCTGATGTTGATAATTTTGAGAAAACCAATGGCGACTTTTGAACGCGTGGATAGATTTGAGCTTAAAAATTTGAGGTTTTTGGGGAATTAATAAGTCCTCTCACATGCAACAAAAATTAGGGAAGAAAGAAGCCGGAGCCGTTAGAATCGAGTGAAAATTCCAAACGGTCGCCTTTCCCAAGCATCCCGCGATTCAAAAATCAAACCTTTTCCCCCTCTCTCTCTCTCTCTCTCTCTCTCTCTCTCTCTCTCTCTCTCTAAAACTCGGCAACGATACTTCACAAACCCACACAGCCACAGCCACCATATTCCATTTCCATTCTCCGCGACTCCTCTCTCCCTTCCCTGCAGTGCGGAATCGGTCGAGCTGCCGAGGCCTCGGCGACGATGGCCATTCGCGGCGAACACCCGAGGATCGTCGACGGCGACGAGCCCCGGATCCCGGTGTTCACCGTCCTCAAGAACGGCGCCGTCCTCAAGAACATCTTCGTCGTCAACATGCCCCCTCCTCCGCCGCCGCCGCCGCCGCCGGAGGAGGGCCTCGCCGGTCCGGAACCGGCCGGGCATCGCGCGGATGCGGAGGTCGCGGGCCGGGAGGGCCGAGACGAGGTGCTGATCGTCGGTCGGCACCCCGACTGCCACATCATGTTGACTCACCCCAGCGTCAGCAGGTTTCACCTCCAGATTCATTCGGATCCGTCGCGGCGGGCGCTCTCCGTCGTCGACTTGTCTTCAGGTATTATCATCGATTGCTTTTCTCTTTTCGTTTTTGGCACCAGAGGTAGGTTGCTGCATGTAGAGGTTTTGTTCCGCGGGAGATAGCGGCGGGTTTCGGCTGTTAGGGCAAACCGTCAGTTGAGTGCGCGAGCGCAAATGCGGACTCGGATGTCGAATTGTTCATTCTGATGGTCTTTTCGGGTTTAGTGCATGGGACTTGGGTTTCCGAGAAGAAGATCGAGCCTGGAGTTGTTGTGGAGCTGAGCGAGGGCGATACGTTGCGTGTTGGCGGGTCGAGCAGAGTGTACAGACTGCACTGGGTACCTCTGAGCCGTGCATATGATTTTGAGAACCCGTTCGTTTTGGCGTTGGATGCATCGGGTGCTGATGAAGAGAAAGAGGAGGAAGACTTGATGATTGATGAAGGAGAAGTAGAAGAGGAACGTGAGGTGTGAATTTCGGCTTCATTCTCTCGACATTCAGAAAAATGCACGCCAGTTGTTTGTCATTATTTCTATGTAGTCCACACTTTCGTTTTCTCTTCCTTTGTTGATTTTTTGATAGGATGACTATTCTTTGGAGATTGGATGCGAAGACGATGACGACTTGAAAAGCTCATTTGTCCTGGAAGATGAGGAGCACATGTATCAGGTGATAATCTATGCTTGAAATGATACTTGCTTTAGAGAAGGGCATAAAATATTTGATAATCCATCGAAGAAGTCTGACTGTTGTTCTTTCCCTCGAAGTCGACTGTTCTTCTTACTTATTCTGTTTGTGAACAGGACTCCTTCCATGATGAGAATAAGGGGATACACTCACCCGAATCATTGTCGAAAGGCGTTGAAGCTCTAGCTCTCGACGATTGTGAAGACATTCCTGTGAAGAACCAGAGTCCATCACAATTACCAATTCCTGAGAATCTATATGCTTCAACTTATGGTGAAAAAGAAACTGATACAGGATTAGGTTCAAAAGCGGCCGACGATTTTTTCATGGCTGCCGAGTTTCTCGAAACTGAGCCTATGAATACTTCTTCGCCTTTTAGAATTTTATTTGACAAAGACAACCAGAAGTTCAATGAAGAAAAATGGAGTGCAGAAGTTGGCATTGCCACTGAATTTGTGTCTGCAGACGAAGGAAGCATAAGGTCAGGGCATGATGATCTGGAGAACCGTTTAGTAGCTGAAGCTTTTGAAGAAAGCAAGTGCACCCTATCAATTGACAGTGAAGTAGGAGACAGCTTAAGCCATGCTTCTGCTCCTTATCCCCATTCATCCTGTCCAGAGATTTTTTCAGAAATGGAAAATCAACAGTTAGGGCAAGAGGATCATGCAGAACAACCTTTTAATAAATCGGGATCACTTTCTTCTGAAGGAAAGAGTAGGACCCTCAGGAAAGAGCGGAAATCCTCCACAGCCATGTTGATAGATGATGCAGGACCTAGAAAAGGCTGCAGTTCTGCAGTTGAAATTCCTGAAGAAAGCCAAAATCAAATCATACATATAGACAACCAAGAAGGTGGGGATACTTTGAGCCATCACTTTGCGAAGTCTGTAGTGGATGCAATAATGTCATCTGAGTCTGATAGGGAAATCCTATTGGAGACCACTGATCAGCATCTTAATAATGAGAACCAGATGCCACAATATGGATCTGTTACTGAGGGACTGTCTGAAAGTGGTCAAGAAAGCACCCCTTTAAGACAGTATTGCACAAAATCAAAATGCTCGAGCATCTGGTCAAGAAGAGGGAAGCCTAGTACTGTACTGCAGCTTCAGACAAACAGAAGAAAAGGAATTACTAAAAGTGCTGCTACTGCTTCTAGAAACAAGCAACACAACCAGGAAAATAACGAAAACCAATTGAGTGGGGTTCCATTTTTCGGTCTAGATGGGGAGGAGGAAGAGATATTTACCCCAGACAAGGAGAACTTAACACCAGCCCGGCTACTTAAATCTTTGAAGAAGATAAGCAAGATGGAAGTAGCAGAGGCTAGACCCTCAGATTCATGTAAAAGATCCTCTTCAAAGCTTTCTTCTATCACCAATACCTGCAATGAGGAGGATGTTTTCTGCTCCGATAAAGAGAATCAGACCCCTGAGGTTCTCAGAGAGCAGAAAATGGCCAGACCTGCCGCTGCAAGTTCTTCAAGACTAAGAAGAGAGTTGGGCTTGAAGCAGGGAGCAGAAAGGTCGGCGTTTAAATCCTTGAATGTTGGGTCCAGAGGTCAATCAACAGCATCTGGAGGTGCAACGAAAAGTGGTCTTCCTGTTGATGGTGTTCGAGCAATGGGAAGGAAAGTCTCTGGTTTGTCTGCTGTAAGTTGACACAAAATTTTCTTTAGCTTTGAACTCTGTATTTTCTTTCATCTTATTGACCAAAGTTTCCGTGAGTACACATAAATAATAAAAGGGTATTTTGCAGAACAAATCTTATGGTGAGCCGAACAAGAATTGGATCATGGTTGTTGATACTACCTCTATTCTCAACAAGGAGTCGAGGAAGTCATTGCAGCTTCTGCAGGGTCTGAAAGGGACTCAGTTAGTCATTCCACGAATTGGTAAAGATTGTATCCAACTTCTTAATACTCGGTTTATTGTCCTGAAACCATGAACTTAACAAATTGCTACAATTTCCCCTTTATCAGTCATAAGAGAGCTGGACTGTCTGAAGCGACGCACTAGCCTGTTCAGAAGAACGACTGAGGTCTCTTCAGCTTTAGAGTGGATAGAGGGTGCTATGGTTAATTTGAAATGGTGGATTCACGTGCAGAGGTCCATAGAGGGAGGAATGTCAATTGCGCCAACACCTCCTGCTACTCCTCATTGTATATTTGGCGATGCAAGTGAGACTTTTAATGCTGCTACACCCGGGGGGAGTGTAATGGATATCATTTCGCCAACCACAGAAGACCACATCCTTGAATCTGCACTCTTCTATAGGAAAACCAACCCCAATGGACAGCTCGTCCTCCTTAGCAACGATATCTCGCTTAAAATTAAAGCCATGGCAGAGGTATTGCTCTTGCATATGCCCGCATCCCTAACGCTCAAACACATATGCATGTGTGTGCACATTCATTCTCACTTGCTCACGCACTTATACTCCACAAACATGCACATGTGCAGCTATCGAAACATTAGAAAATAGTCCAACTTTAACCGAACTTTGCTGCTTGTTTCAGGGTTTACTATGTGAGACTGCTCAAGAATTCCGTGAGAGTTTGGTGAATCCCTTCTCTGATAGGTTCTTGTGGGCAGATAGCTCTCCTAGAGGACAGACTTGGTCGTGCTTGGACGATATCGTTCTGAAAGAGAAGTACTATTCACGCCCGTCAAAGAAATCCGCACGAGGAGAAGGTCTGAGTGGGCTGAAGCTCATTCTTCTGCACAATTCTCAGTACGGGCAGCAAATCCGCTCGGTTGGTTGAGCATCACTATCGTTTTTTTGAAATCTCCACACTTTGCATTGCCGTGGATGCATAATGTGCCTTTTCAAAACTTACGAGCTAAAAAAGAATTTCACATGATCTTGTCGGCGCATTGTCATCATAAACCATTTATCTTCCATGTCTGTGTCTCAAGACGACTCTTCTGCTGTGAAAGAACTGTGAAGCCGTTTGCCGCAATGCAAGTGCCTTGGCTGGCCATTTTTTAGTATCCGAATCGACCTCAAGCACTCTATTTGGCAACTAGAAGGAGAAAATGAGCAAACTTTAGAGCTAATTGCTACCTAGCGCTTCTAGAACATCGATGAGAACCCGGATGGGTGTTGACGAGCTCAATGTCATTATCCAGCAGACTATTATTTCATAGCAACCGTGCAAACGAAAATGCCTATACACCCTGTGGGTTATGCTATTTTCGTGAAAAAAAAGGCCAGTAATTTGCAAATCTATCTCCCGAAAATGATGTCAATGCAGCAGAAAGTAGATAGAGAGTCCGTATCCCTATCGGCAAGTATATCATTTGATCAAATCATTCTTTGTCTTGTCTAGATTGAATGTGTGGTGGAACCTGTCACACCGCGCTACTTTAGATTTAGACAAACGTCTAGATGTGATCAAGCTTATGGTTACACTAATCATCGTGATTCACTCATGAGGTCGGATTGTAAAGAACATTACCGTAACCACTAGGATGACATTAAAGATGTCGAATGAAATTTACAATAGCTTCTAGCATAGTATTTTCTGTCAAACGCATGGATGAAGGAGCAGATTACAGACAGAGAGAAGACAATATATTAGAAGGTACAAGGAAAAGTAAGGGGTGCAATTGGATTCACAGGAAATGAAGCACATCTCTGACCCTCACAACATCCGAAATCAATCCAACAAACCATAGAGTACAGATGAAAGCTATTGGTAAACAAGAATTTATTAAAGCTCAGTCAATAAAATCAGGCCACCTCCTTCTACAATTGCGAAAGAAAGCTGAAACTCACAAACCCTGGTGCATGCTTGGCCAACACCGTTACTCTAGATTATTAGAACTCGACTGACCTCCATTTTTCTGGGGGTAATTACAAGACGCTTGAAGGAGAAATGAGAATGCGCCTTCCGAATCATCAAAAGCAGATCGTGTGAACTCATTAAACCCACCAAAGTTACTGGCCTCGAAGTTCAAAGGGGAAAAGAAACTCGACGGGTCATCGACATTCCCTTTGACGTCCTCCATGATGTTCTGAACTCCACCCGAACTGGGAGTGCTGGAGCCGAAATTGAAACTCACATTACCAACTTTGTTCGTGTCTTCACTATGTTCTCCTTGCAAAGATTGCTCAGTTGCTCCCTTATTCTCGTCAAGGGGAATCGCTGGGGTGTGGCCTTGGAAGAGAGTGATGTGTCCAAAAAGTTTGTCTTTCCTGGAGAATGTAGTGCCGCAGGAACAAAGCCATTTATCCTTCCCACAGTGCTTCTCATGCGTTTTAAGGTCCGCGATGACCGAAAACTTCTTGGTATTGCAACGGCTGCATGTATAGCTTTTGTCACAGTGGGTTCTCTTGTAATGATTTTTGACGCACAATATCGTCTTCAGAGGTTGAAACTTTTTATGATCCTTGTTGCGCTTACAACCCGCATATGGACAGGAGTACCTCTTAATAAGCATCATTTCGGAACCAGCTTCCTTGTGGGGTTTCGCAAGTGCTGCCGGCGTTTTGTATTCATCCCCATGACCTCTCATGTGCATGCGTAAATTAGCATCCCTCTTAAATCCCTTCCCACATATGGTACAAAAGTGAGTATGTGGTGCAAGGATTTCTTCTTTCTCTAGTTGTAAGATCTCAAAGGAACCCGGAGGAAGATTTTCCCCCTCATCACCATCTTCATCATCTTTTGATTCATGATCCTCCATATTATCGGTACCAGAGTGACCCATTGGATCCACCTGGTTAGACTGGTCGGGGTCTTTGTTTCCGCCTTGACTTGGGAGCATAAGATTGCTGTTAAGACCAATTCCAGATCCAGAATTATCTAAAATCCCACCAAGCTGACCCAGCTGCCTGATGGGCGGCGTGGATGCAGAAGAAAGGGAGTTCTTCACTGATGGTAGGAGACTACCAGCAGTAGAGATCAGCTGGATGATTATCGAAGTGAGATCGGCAGTTATGAGTTGCTGTTGCTGTGCCACAAGCTCATCCGGTCGTCCCAAAACTGGTCCTCTCCTTCCAACAATAACGTGCACTAAATCCTGAAGCTGATGGATCTTCTGTTCCAGGAAGGAGAGATTATTTAGCATCGCTTTTGGGTCCCACTCTTGCGTCTTACCAAGTTGGAGCATATCATTCATCTGGACACCTCGATCTTGACTGGTGGGTTTGCCAGGAAGAGATGGCTGGCATTCAGAGGGACGATTAAATTCAGAGAAAGGAGGTTCGATCCTCATGCTGTAATTTGAGATTGAAGGATCTTGATCTTCCTGCTTGTGCTGATTCTTGCGTGAGGCAAAATTCAGGAATGGTGTTTGCCGACGGTCTGGGGGAACGTGCCTGGGTAAATCATTCACAGAGGAAGGCTTTCCCCAGGTTTGAGCACGTAAAGTCTCTTCGAGATCCATCTTTAAGTCCATCAGGAATTGAAGATCACCGCCAAATAAAAGCTGACGACCAGAGAATTTCTGTTAAAATTACACACAAAATTGTCTTTGAAAAAGCATCGATGCAAACAAAAGAACCAAATCATGTTTGCGCAAGTAGTAATCCCGTTAAACATACGATCCGGGGTTCACAAAGAATAACTTTCTGTTGGAAGGGCAATGCTAGCAAGAATCTGATCCACAATTCATTTCACGCATTTGACCTCACAGTCTCTCCAGGCACATTTTCGCAAATCAACTAATCACAGCGAAAAACCAGCATCTCTCCATCAAACAAATCACTTGTCGTCTCGAACTTAAACAACCCTCTGAAGCATATGAAGCACCCTCCAATTCAGTGTAGTTTGAACTCGAATTCATTCTTTTTTTCACTCGTAACCCCAAATAACAGACCTAATTAAACTCAAAATTATAAGGAAAATTAGCAACTCCTCTTAATGTCCATGAAGCACTTGGGAGATCCAATATTTCATTTCCAAACAAAATTAAAATTTTAACAAAATCTGTACGGTGCTGATATCGATAACCCAAAAACCCAGAAACAACGAACTCACAATCAAGATCGATAGATGAAACAGCAAAACACTTCATAGAGCTCAAACACCGCATGAATCCTATAATCCACGCAACCTCCAAAGACACAGAACAGAGCGTGCCAGGTCCCAGATAAGAGGAAGGAACAACCCCCACAAATATCAAACAGCTAATCACATCAGGAACCCAGGAAGAACCCTAACAGGAGATGCGAGTGATGAATGAGAAAAGGACTTACCGGGATTTGAAATCTTTCCCAGATCCTCTCGGTCTCTATTCCGATTCGGGTCGCTGTATTTTCTAGAGAGAGAGCGAGAGGGGGCGCAGAGAAAAGGGTCGTAGCAGCCCAATTCAAGAACTGCTCAAAATCGAGAATGAAAAAGCAGAGCAAAGCAAAGCGAGCACACGCCTTTCGGGCAAAAGCAAAGGACGCAACACACACGAGCTAACGGATTGTGGGTCAAACCCCATCAATCCGGGTCGTCCAAGAAGATGTGTACCCCGCCAAAAACAGACACCAAACCAATCTTGATCAGAAGAGAGAAAACACGAATTTAAGACCCACCACCGCAAGGGGGTCAAATCTGGACGGATTGAATTTTTGGAGGCGAGGTTCGAGGGATGACGTCCGATTGGAGATGAGGGGAAGTGGGTCCAACCACTCTGCTACAGGACAATTCGTTCCTCCTCACCCCGACCCCCACCCCCACCCCCACCCATTTCTTTCTTTATCGGATGCACAATTTGACCAGTTTCTCTCCTTTATTTACTTCCCTTGTTTAAGTCGTGAGTGTGCGCAATAGAATAACGCTAATAATTGTGGGGGGGCGGGGAGACATCATAGCGCTGCAGCTTTCTTTAATGGGGGAGGAGGTGCGTGGAGTGGAGGACTACCAGGAAGCTACGCCTCTGCGACGTTCAGCGACTGTCTCCCTCCCCTCCCTCTCTCCCTCTCTCTCTTCTCTGTGCACTTGTGACAGCTGCTTCCACGAAGGCGGGTCGTGTTCCATGCATGGAAGCGACACCAAGAACATGTGCGCGAGACTCATCTTGCAGCGCGGAGGGCCATAAAGATATTCAGCCTTGGGTCAACTGCTGACTTTACAGGAGGAGAGGGAGCTTTCGGGAGTCGGAACTCGCTGGTTGACCGGTGGAAGAAGCTTCATAACGTGTTTCGGCGTAACTTGGCGTTACCCTGTTTTGGCTTCCTGGCGTATGACCTTTCAGGACGCTATAGAAATATTTTTACGCGACTTTGGATAGTGTTCACATATATATCTTGGAGATTTGAAGTGTTCTAACGTAGAACTTACTTGCAATCGGTGGCCCGTGATCACGAATTATAAGACATTTTAAACGTCAATAGTGCTATGGTTCACACCAATTAAAACTTGGACCTCGTCCCGTGACCGCTTCATCGGCGATTCTACCAAATTTATGTTTTTGTTCCTTTGTTTCTCTCTCTTTCTTTGGTCAAGGCTTGGTGACGCCAAATGGGCGCTCCATCAACTCCACGAGTTTGGCTAAGTGGTAAGTTTAGCCACATAAGCGGCCATTTATCAGATTTTCTTTAGAAAATCGACCATAAACTGTCTAAGTACATCACAAAATTCATAGATAATTATAAAAAACCATGCATCCAATAGATAAAATTGAAGTTTGGTAACCTCACATTGCATGAAATGACCGCCCGATAAAATTTTTTAAGCATTCACAAAATCTAAGATATTGTTAGAATTATGATTGTAATTATAATTATTAGCAATCCCTGTCTCATGGGAAGGATACTGTCTATCTCTAGTAAGCAAGTTGTCAAATTGATGGCGCAAAACCAGAGAATGCGGGCGAAATAGTCGCGCTGCAGTCAGAAGCATGGTGTGGATACAATGGCCAAGTGAAACCCACTTGCAAATTAGGGCCGTGGAAGGTTGTCCCACTCCCACCTTGGTCAAGATAACCTTGGCCGCGATGTCCTTCAAACTACAAAAACAAAAGTAGTGCCGAAGTAGCAACATATTTGGCAAAGTGTGATGTGCAGAGCTTGATGGTGTCTCGACTTTTCTGCACAATCCTTCGTCCTTTTGGATTTAAGTTTCAAGTGTGTGTGTGTGTGTTGTGGTTATTTCAAGATGTTGTAAAAGCTACTTAGAAGGTGTCTCCACACAGCAGATTTCATATTCATGTACAAGAAAACAAAGTAGGTTTTATCAATTGTTCTTAAGAAAACCTCAAGAGCACCCACAAAATTCTGCCCCAAAAGTCAGTTTTGGAATAGTATGGCTTTTGTGGTGGCCCAACGCTTGTGAAATGAACTTTGAACTTCACAACAAGACGACAGTATGAATCAATGTTGAAACGCTAAAGAACCCAGAAAGAGGGACAACCGATGCGAGAATTTGCGAGCGGCTGAATGACACAATATGACTTTTGAGGCCACTCTTCAGACCTTCACGCAAACAAGCTTATCTCTTTTCCTCGAGGTCAAATTACTGACATCAATGGCCTTCGCTGATTAAGAAAGATGGCATTTCACAAGCCTGTTTTGTTGGACGCAGCCGCCCCGAAACAAAACAAGCATTTCAAAGTGGTGACACATGCAGTGACGTTAAGTGAGAGACTACAACCTTTTACAATCACATATGTTGAACTAACTTTCTGGCCAAAAGAAGAAAGGGAATTTTTCTAACACTGCTTACTGACAAAATCATTCAGGATGCCACCCAAACTTTTGACTTTGAAATCATATAACAAAGAGAGTAGGTCACCAGAAGCTGCCACCCATTACAAACATTCTGATGTGCCAAGATAATCGCTTAATCCTCCCAATGACTCAAGTGTGTGGAGGATTTTAACAGGAGGCAAAACCACTGGATTTAATCCCTATGATATGCTCACAAATTTAGGGTGGCGGCCCTTTCCGTGTCAAGAAATACTATGTGCCCAAAATTAGATGACATCAGATGAATTGAAGATAAAGATCATACCAACTCATAGAAAAAAGCCGACTTTGGTCCCATCAATCACAATCATCTTTCTTTTGATTTCACGGGAACTCCTTTGTACATGGTCACACGTTCTTTTAACGCATCCCGCCGTGGTCTAGCTATCTTATTGGTAGGGTCAAAAAGCAGCACCTCTTCAAATGCCTTAAGAGCAGACTTCAAGTCTTTCTTCTTTTCATATGCATCACCAAGGTTATTCCAAGCTGTCACATATCCTGGTTGAAGCTTCACCGCTGTTTCAAATTGTGTAATTCCTTTCTCAAGCTTGCCATCTCGAACATAACTAACACCAAGGGCATTGTATACCTGACATGTGGACACCAAATTACATACCCAGAAAATGGGTGAGAAGAGGCGCACTTTATCTAGATGCCCAAGGAATTATGATTAATGTCGAGAACCTCTGATTTATTTACTCATTAGTTTGAAATCCAAGCTTCTACTCTTGTCTATGTGATATATATCAGCATAACTTGCACAGAGCTCAAACGATATCTAATAATCAGGATGAAATGGAATATGTGTACATGCAGGCCATGACGTAAAAGCTTACATGTCAAATGAATGTTTCCTGGAATCAGTTGATCCCACAAAGAGTTAACAGAGAGGATCTCTAGTTGTGGAGTGTCTATTTTGGGGAACAGTACAAAGCTTTGGAGTGCTGCTATGAAGAAAGCATGAAAAACCTATCATAGAAAAGGCTTTTGTTCCCTTGTATGCATCTTTAAAGTTAATCTTTCTCCACTAACCTGCCTCTCTTACATGAGCTTCTACTCCATTCTATTTTCAAGGGACGACAACTATTCAAAGGAAGGTTATACATTATAGAAAACTTCAAAATTAAAGCAAAACCAGAAGCTCAAATAGATGACTTTGTCTCTATAGCCTCTTCTAATCGTCATGTAACCAAGACCTTGGTAAGATTCCAATGTCTCAAAGAACCAACAGGAAAAAACACACACACACAGAAGGATGGGAGAAGGAAAAATATTGTAGTTAATAAAGAACCAAGACTTATCTTTCCATTTAAGTATTACAATGACCTAGTACCTGTGCAAGATCTTGATCATCTCCATCCCATTTTTCAATTGCCTGAAGCAAGTACTTAGTTGCAGCCGGGTAAACTTTCCTTCTTAGCATCACTGCACCCAGTTCAAAGAACTCAGTTGCACTAGCATCACCACTTCTTACTTGTTCCTGTTGTATAAAAAGAGAAGATAATAGGATGATCCTCTGCAAATAGCCAAAAAGAAATGAAAAAAGAAAACAGAGGATGACATCTGTACCTATATGCTCAAAGACAAGCAAGTCCCAAGAGTAATATGGCATGCCACAACAGTTTCTAACAAATTGCTCCCGAGCAAAACAAATGATACTCAGACTAGAACAAGAGGTGCAGGGGCCTGGTAGTGTGCCGGTGTCTCACTTGTCTAGATGTAACACGTGTGGACTGGGCATAAACGTATATAAGACTAGAATACTATCCAGCAGAAATGAACAAACATTAACTAAGTATTCTCAAAAGAAATGAATGTATGCACAACATTATAATTTTCTAGTGAACATATGATGCTTTAGTATTGTTGCAGATTTATAATTATGTGATGTTTGATGTGAAATCAAGTGTCACCATACCCATCCCATCCCAATTCCACGTCCTATGGACGCAGTTACCCAACCTCAATAAAGGAGTCATGCATCAGAGGCCTCCATTATGTGCATAAATGTCATGAAACTGTCTAGGACTGAACTGTGAAAAAAAAATTTACCTGCAGCTCTTTAGCGGAAAGGTCAAGTTCTCTGCGGACTAAGACCTGACGGATGACAAAGAAAGAACCCACACCAAGCAAGGCCAATAACAAAAGCAAATAGGATAGTTGGATTCCCAATTCAAACAACTCTCCAATCTCATAAACAGCATTTATTTGAATAGTTTCACTTGCATCTGCAACTTGTGCACAAGCCAACCAAGAGGGAAGTCCGACTGAAAGTGCAGATACCCAGACTGATGGCTCCTTCACCTTTAAAATCTTTTCGATAATAAAAGGGTTCTCCAAAGACACTGAAACAAAAAAATAAAAGTAAATAAAAAATGAGATCATCTCTGTAGCTAACAGGAGAGAACCAACGAAAACAAATCACAGTTGAAGAAAGAAACGAGGTATGCGAAAGGTAATGACAGAATGAGACAGCTTATTAAAATTGATCTTCTCAAAGAGATTTACACAAGAACTTGCATCGTGTTAGCACCCAACTACCCTAAGTAACTTACAAGAGAAAAATACCAGGGAAAGCATGATAGTTAGTGGTACAAAACTATCACAAGCCCTCAAGTCATCCCTAAAGGAATAGGAGAATCCACGGAAGATGAGGGGAAAAATGTTTGCAGCTTAAACAGTTACATCAGTGCACAGACAAGCGGATCCAGGTAGAGTCCAGATAGGCACTAAAATAACCAGACGAAAACTGTAAGATGTAGAAAGACTTAATAAGTGATAGTTAATTTTTCTGAATTACAAGTTGATATTGTTGTTTATCTTGACGAATCTGCAGGAGCATTGCTGGTGACTAGGTCATGGGTTCCGTTTTGTCATCCGAAGAGATTACTGCTCCAAATCCATAAACAGGGTGAAACTTGTTTGCACAATAGATGGAAATTACACCGATGGTCAAAATGTATCTCCATCAAGTATAACACACTGCATTTGATCCACTATGGCCATTTAAAAGATATTTCAAATGGAATAACCTTGTACGTAAAAGATAGCAAAAGTATGCTACTCTTAAGTACGCTATTACAACCATTAGTCCCTAAGCTCTGGAATCATCCCAAATATTTTTGAATCAGCAGAATTTCACGTAAAGACTGCCCTGTATTCAAACAGAAAGTGAGACCTACAAGCCCCAACTTGTCCCAACATCAGTGATGAGCAAGAGCCATATATCCGAGGATGAATCATGACACTAAACGTGGTATTTAGACTGATATTCAGGCAGACAGTGTTCTGAAAATATAGCAGCGCACAGTTCCAATATCTCAAGTTCTTGATTCTTGGCAATAAATTTGGAAGATAGAAAGAAGCATTACTCTTCAGCCGCGGCAATGACCGTGATTCTGCCGTCAATTCCCTTTGACATATCTGCCTTCATCCACAACAGATGCAAAAAAAAAAATAAAAAAAAATCAACAGCTTTTATGCAAAGTGAAATTACTCATAGTTCACTATGGATAGCAAACGAGGGCATCTAAGATATAGCGAGACTTGGATGAAGAAATGTTCTTATGCTGTTTAAAATGCAAAATAACAATGTTAATCAAAGATATAGCAACGATGACTTCGCCAGTACAAGTATTTTCCATAGTCCAACCAAAAACAAGAAACGCAACGTTAGAGGGAATGCTGAAGTAGCCAAGAAATCACAATCACGAGACGACCCAAAATGGGCGTGACTAAAATGAGTTGCAGAGGCCTTAATTCGAGAGCCCTTGTGATGCCAAGCTCGTAATTACACAGTAGAAAATGGTATCGAAATTTGCGTGCTAAACTTCATTACCTGATTGTTCTTCTGAGTCTGGTCTTCAAGAAGGTCGAGCGTGAGAGGATTGAGGAATGGAGAGGTGGTATCCGGTCGGAGATGGAGGAGAAGGAAGGAGAACGGGAGAGGGATAAGAGAGCACGGTCCGCCATGGGAGCTTCAGCAACTGCGGGTTGAAGCAGAAGGATACGGGCCGCGAGCCATTCAATTATCAGGCTCTCAGTATATTTTTATTGAAATTCCAATTCGACCCCGTTCTTTTTCTTTTTTCGTATTTGTAACGTGTTCTTTTCCCTTGGTTTTTATCATTTTATGAGTGTGTATCATTCACATTTGGCTCTGCGAAGCGGTGAACGGATAATTTGAAAAATATTTTCCTAAAAATGATATCTTATATCGATTGAAATAATTAGTCGATAGAAAATATTTTTATTATCAACAATAATTATTGTCTAAATATTTTCGTGGACAACGGAAATATTTTCGTTCGTTTATTTTTGTAAGCGATACAAGTGATTCTTCTTTGGAAAATGTTTTCCAAATAATTCACTTTCCAAAAAACAAATGGAGAGTTTTTATTAAGATCACAATTGTAAGTTGAAATTCTAATTATAACTGAAATCTTTAATAGGTTTCTCTCAAATCAAATAAGTGTTTTGAAGCAACTATTTCTTACTTTCAAAAGGATATAGCTCCCATAATGTATTTAGTATACTTTCATAAGCAAAGAGCTATTAAAGTTTATATTAAGAAGGGTTATCTTTTTGCCCATGGCTAGTTGCCGGCCATCGGCCATAGGTGATGGTTTGCAAGGGCCCCTTCGCCATATTTGGCAAGACGAGGCAAAGGCGAGGCTCAGCGAGATCGAGCCTCGCCTTTGCTTAGGCAACACCTTGTGAGGCCACCTTGGCTCGGGCGAGAGTTGGCCTCGCCGGGCCTCACTTGGGCAAGGGCAAGACTCGACGAGGGCCACCCTCGTCAAATTTGGCGAGGCCTGGCGAGGTCGCCCTCGCCCAAGCTAGGCTAGTTCTTGCTTGTGGTCGGCAACCGCCCACTGGTGAAAAGAAAAGGGAAAAACAAAGAAAGAAATAAAATCAAAATATTATTAAAAATTTTTCCATGTTAGTGCTGATAGGTCATGCCAAATAGGCCGACTGGCATCCACATCAGCCATTTTCGATTAAAATTGGCTGAATGAACTACATTGGCAATTTGTCAAAAGGTTTAGGACTCAATTGGCCAAATTGAAAGGTTTATGATAGAATTGGCACAAATACAATAGGTTTATGACTTTCATGGCAATTTTTCCCATTTGTATTGATGATGAAAATATTTTTCGTAAATTCACTTTTTAAAGTTATACAAGCATTTATTTTTAAGAAACTATTTTCTGAATCATTTCCGATACGATAAAATCGATAGATTGACAAAAACAATAGACCTCATATGAGGAGAGTAGCACTGAAGTTGTACTGTTACATTTAATTACTCCCACTTTCTACTTGAACTATCAAATTTTTCTTATGCATTTTTTCCTAACCTTGTGCATTTGTTAAACAAGTATAAATTTTTATGCAATTAACATTCACTGAAATGACAAAATACATTTACGATGAAGTATATGAGAATGCAACTTGACCTTGACAAAAAATTAAGATATATGTGCTTACGTTCGCGCTTAATCTAACTTTTATCTAATATGCACGTATTGTTAATTCTCAATGAGGAACTCTTAAGAGAGTTGTTCCATAGTAATTATATCTGTGTCAAAATTGTGTTCGCTAATCCTATAGTAATATTTTGTTTATCAGGTCATCTATGTATTTCCAAACTTATCGCGCAAGAAGGTGGTGATATTTTTCACGGAAAGTAGTTTATTACCAACATTCATTATGTAAATTATCAATTTTAAGCTAGTGATGTCTAGGAATTTTTCAAAATTGTCTTACGAACTTGAATTTTTTGTTCACAAGATTTAAAGATAAGATGCTGAATGCATATCCCTCATGTCACTAATAAAGATGATAAGCACATTGATATAATAAAAAAATCTGTACTTGTATCTTATTTTCTGCTTTTAGATATTCATTAAGAGATTATTCATGATACAACTTCATTAATAATAGAAATGATTTAGTATTCTATCTTCCACAGATAGAAAATATAAGTCTTTTACATGAATAATCTTTCTGGTAGTGTTCTACCACCAGCATTACATGAACATACCAAAAGGTAACTTTTACAGACCTATCAACACAGAGGAAATGTGAGTCTTTTGGCCTTTCTTTACAGAACTGTCGCGACCGACCTTGAACAAAATGATTGAACAGACATAAGGTCACCCAAAATCTCTGTGTTTCAGAGTTGACCACCACGGTCATATGCTTTGTGAGCGATACGGTCCTTGAAGAAGACGATCAAAATAAGAACATAAACAATCTTCACCGCCATGCACGGACCTTCGTAGAACTTATTGAATATGTAAGACAACATGGACAGCCCGATGAGCCTCATCGTCCTCTCCTCCACATAATTCGCGAGTGCCTCTTCATATTTCCTCCTGCGACTTCCCTCTCCATCTTCTCCCTCTTCGACCTCCGAGAGCTTCCTCGATAAGCATCTCGCGAGCACGACCACGTCCTCTAAGCTCGTGCTGCCGCCTTGACCAATGAACGGGCTCATGGCATGCAGCTCGTTGCCTGCGACCATCACGGTCCCTTTCCGGAATCTTCCGTAGACTAAGTCCCATGGTGCGCGGTACCGAACCGCATGCCGACAAGGAGCTCTTGTTGCTTCTCTTTATCTCTGTCATCTCTGCGGGGAAATTCTGGGTCGACTTCAAGTTTAGCATCCTTATCAGTTCTTGATCCCTCGAGATAGTAGAATCTGTCCGCATCGATTTGTGACAGTCAAGCAGATTAACAAGATCATATTCAGGATCGACTCTAAATTAATGTAGACCAAGTAAATCATTTTCAGCAAGATCCCTTAATATCCCTAATACGTTTTTTCTGAATTGAGTGAGGGTCGCACACCATGAAGTAGGTCGACTGCTGCAAGTAATAGCATATTATGTACATACCAGCGACAATTTCATGGTGATTGATTAGCATACTGTAAAATATGGGTTCTGAAAAAAAAAAATAAAAAAAATCAACAAGTCAACAAGTCAACAGAAGCTACAGTGGACTCTCGGCCAAATTAAAAGGAGGCCGAGAGCTCCTTGGCTGAGAAAAACAGAAACAGAAAAGAGGAGAAAGGAGAGGAAAGGGAAGAAGAAGAAGAAAAAGAGAAGAGAGAAGAGGGTTTTGCGCCGCAGGACCTCGCCTAGCCGATTCGACTTGAATCGCAACGCTCGGTAAGTACTCGCGCCCCTCGTTCGTTTGATCGGAGAAGTTTTCCGATTTAGGGTTTAAATTCGGAATTTTGGGAAATTCGAGCGGCGAAGTCTGATTTTTGAGTTGTTCAGCTGCATATTTTTATAGAATTGGTAGTTTATAGTGTTGCGGAGCCGTGGGGTTTTACGGAACCTGATTTGGACTTACGATTTGCTGGATATGAATTTTTGAAGTTGAGTGCGCGCAGTGAACAGTACGCGAACAGTGGTTTTTAGGCCGATTTTCGTCGGTTTTCGGCTCGATTTTGGGGCTGCCAAGTTGGGGTTCATGTAGTGCTCCGAACAAGCTTTCTTTTGACTATAAACTTGCTTGGATTGGAGTTTACTAGAGAAAGTTATGGCGCAATCAAGTTTTGCGCTTAGGCGTTGTATTGTGGGCGATTTTGGATAATCGCGTTAGACGAGCATTTTGAGGGCATCTTTTAGTCGTTATATTAGCATCTAAGCCTAGTTGAGCCGAGTCGTAGTTGAAGTAACATTTTACTCGGTTTTGATACCGTTTTTCGACTTATTGTTAGGTATTCAAGTGTGTCGGCTCGAGAAATCGCTGTAGGTTAGTTTTTCAGCTTTTCAAGGTGAGTGGTACTATTTCTTTTTTGAATTTGTAAACTCATTTTTAGAAAATGATATGTATTAGATATGTTATCATATAAGAAATGGCATTTTGATTACATAAAATTGGATCGAGCATTTGCTGCCATATTGTGCATTTAAAATGAAAGATTATCTTTTGATTTCGGTTTGAATTTACTGAATGCAAATAGGTTTGCGAAACCTTTTGAGAAAGACTCATGAGGAGTTCTTGCATTTGAATGTGGCTTATGAAGGGTTTTATATCGGTTTATGAAATGGTTTATGAAATGATTTCTGGAATTGGTTTTGTAGATTGGTGGATGATATTGTTGTGGATTTTGGTGCTCAGTGTCTCTGTGAACCCAAATGAGGGGTTGTGGGTATGCGCATACTAGTCTAGGATATCCTTGTGGGCCGAGCCACCGGCTTATAGTAGGTGGAGACCTTGCCAAGGGGGGAATCTTGGTCGCCTTTCACGGGGCGTTATCCGTGATCATACTTAGATTTCTGAGCATGAGATTGGCCAATGGAATGGACCATTGGCGTGTGCTTTTCGACGAGATTGGCCAATGGATTTGACCATTGGTTTCTTCTTTGATATTATTAATTGGAATGAGCTTTCCTATTGTGAAAATGTGATGTTTAAAGTAGTATACAACGTATTTTGAACCTGGAGTTGGTTATATGTTGTGTTATTTGAGTTTTTGTTTAGTCTTACAACTGTGTGCATAGTAGGTGCTCGATCTACTTAGAAGAAATGTATTACTCACTGAGCCGTGGTAGCTCATTCCTCTCATCTAACTTGTTTTTCAGGTTCTTCACCGAGACGCTAATAGGCGTGAGAGTTCCGGTGTCGGGGAGAACATTTTGATAGTTGGGACTTTTTGGTATGAGTTACACATGGATGTGGAGCTTAATGTACTTAGCTTTTTTGGTGGATTGTAGTTAACTCTGATATTGTAACCAAATAAACTTTATATCATGTATATATGTGGTTGCATATATTTTGATATCATGTGAGTTTTGGTTATGTTTAGGCTGCGTCCTTTTGTTAAAGGATGGCCGTGTCATGCCCTTATTCTTGTTGAGTTTGGGGTGTGACACATACAATACGTTAGGTCGATAACATGGTATATCACACTTTAATGAACATTATTTAATGGGAGTTTCAAAAGTTTCTATGATTCTTTCATAGTAGTCACGGGGAGAATTGAACTGCATCGTATTTTCATCACTGGGAGTA